ACAATGTTTAGCGGGACAATGTCACCAGGCTTTATCTTTGAAGTAATAATACCCAACAGTCATCACTGACACGACTGCCAGCCGTATCGACTGGGTATTATATCTTAGCTTTGCGCAATCAGTGACGTGGAGTAATGATGAACGACCTAGCACGTCACCTTGTATCAGAAGGTTTAAAGGTTTCTGGTCCTGCATGTCTGGTGACGTCACGAGGTTATTTTCAGACAATGATATCCCTGCGTTGGGTCTTGTGATGTGTGTTTACAATGCAACAGATCCCTGTTTGCCAAGACAACCAGGCCCCGATTTCTCGAAACAAACTTCAGTTTTTAATCAAATTTCAATCTGAGTTTGACAATTTTAAACAGCTGAATTTTAAACTCAGGTGCATTTTTAAATAAAAAGGCCGAAACAACTTAAGAAATCTATCACCAAACTCTTATTGTCTGCAATGTTTGAGTTTAATATCGATTTCAGTTCATTTTGGGAAATGCATTTTCTCAATTTGAGTAAAAACTCTAACTTAAGTCAAAACTCAGACTTAAGTTTGTTTCGAGAAATCGGAACCAGTTTTCGGACGCCCTGCAGGACAGTTATCACTTTGACTGGATATATCTCAGGAAAATATGTCATAACGTATGGGTGATTATATAGGCTTGATTGACCTGGATCCACCGAAGGTACCGCATTTCTGTTAAAAATGGCTTATTAGATTCTAAAACCGGCGTTAACTTACACCCAGTGCCCGTTATATAACTTACCCTTGTGATGTAACAACACAATGGATGTGAGAAAGAGAAACACAGCACCTACGTGTACTGGTTAAGTCTGTAACTATTTCAGGTACAAAGAGCGTTTCATTGCTTTACAAAGCTACCTTTGCACTTTTTATTCTATTCTGTGTTTAACGCCGCACTCAGCAATATTCCAGCTATTTGGCGGCAGTCTGTAATTAATCGAGTCTGGACCAGACAATCCAGTGATCAACATCATGAGCATCGATTTACACGATTGGGATACGATGCTGTGTCAACTAAGTCAGCGTGTCTGACCACCCGATATCCCTTTAGTCGCCTCTTACGACATGCATGGGTTGTTGGAGACCAATTCTAACCCGGATCTTCAAAGGTTTTCTATTTAATGTGTGTAAAACGGCAAGAAAGTTCAAAATAATACGTGGAACAACAACTAAATCCAAAATCATCATCAAAGCGACTTTACTAAATCTAAGGTATTTATATTAACAATGGAAAGTTTAAGTAAAATACATATATATACTATCAATACTATGTAGCTAATTGTATTCATTAAAATGCTTATATTTATGATTGAAATATGATTGCGCCGCTTTTAGCTATATTCCAGCAATATCACAGTGGGGGGCATCAGAAATGGGCTTGACACATTGTACCCATATGGGGAATCGAACCAGAGTCTTTATCGTGACGAGCGAATGCTTTAACCACTAGGCTACACCACCGTCCCCCGTTATGAGGAGAATGGTCATGACGAAGTATTAAGGCATGAAACTTGTCAACAAAATCAATCAATGCTGTTGCCAGGTCTGAGTGGCATCGTTCCCTCAAAATCCAAAATGGCTGCCAATGTATATAAATGTCCAGTCCTTTCCTACAAATGCGCTGAAATGATTAATTTAATGTTAATATAGGTTTTGTTCGAGTGAATGGTTTGAATGTTAAGTCAGTTTTATTCACAAATGTTTCCATAAAGAGGCCAGTTGTTCAGTAATGGTGTCCATGATTGCGTCAACGGTTGTTTGTGTACTTAACACGAGATGCTTGTTTGATAAGATTGATCTTCTTTATCCTTTCATGTTTACGTTTCCTTGATTACGTTGATATGAAGCTATAAACCTCCCTATGTAGCATTCTTTCGTGTCCATTACACACACATGCACACACACGCGCACACACACACGTACACACAATCTACATGTATACATATAATCCTGATATTAGGCAAATTAGTAGTTATGTAATTTATAGCAATCACACCAATATATGTAACACACAATATTACTTCAATGGCAAAGCTTCTTTTCAAAAGCCGTATTAAAGTGTTAGCCTAGCGTACATGTATGTGTACCCATGGAAGCCTGGATACGTTAAGATCGCACAATTAATAAGAAAATATTTGAATAATTCTTCACAATGATAACAGGTTTTTTCGTGTAGGGCTCTTGACAGTGTTAATACTCTGAGATTGATTTCCTCAACAATTCGCCAAAGGTGTACACTTTTTGAATAGTCTCGACACCGCTGCTCTCTCCATGCTGCTTAGTCAATAGCGCCAAGGCTATATACAAGGCGTTAATTGGTCTCGAGAGTGTTGAAACCTGACTCCTTGGCGAGAAACTCTTAACCCGTAATCGCTGCTGAATATTGAACGGCACCGAATCGAGCCAAGGTAATATTATCTCTATTGATTATGGAAAGTAAGCATTGTAGATATAGTAAAATTTGTCAACTATTTATACTCAACAAACATGAAGAGTCATTTAATCTGTCTGAGAGTTTTAAAAGTAATATTTCATTTGAGGTGAGTTGGTCTAAACCTTTTACCACGGCCCTATTTTGCATATTTTCTTGCAATATTTAAATGAATGAATAAGTCCTTTATGAAACAGTTGAAGTCCTTTATGAAATGTCTATCTATTTAAATAACAACTCTCTTTTCCTTTGAGTGGCATTTTAGAAGTTGGGAAGAACAATGTTGACAAACAAAGTCATCCATAAAGTTTGTCAATATAGTGTTTTCTTTTTCTGGAAGTTGATCAAATTCTTTAACTTTATCGAAACCATTCAGACAACATTATCGTTATCACGACTCTACCGCTTCCAATGATTAAGTCCGAGCTTCCTATGCGTCATGTCTATCTCGTGAATGAAGCCCACATATGGATGTTTTCTGTACCTCCTGCCAACCACATACAAACACAGCCAAACAAACACAGCCAAACAACCATTCATACAAACACCACACAACGCCTAGCCCCAATACCAGCCTTGGACACAAGCCTCAACTATAGATAAACTTCCCCAAACAGCTGTAATAATCACTACCAACCCTCGTGTTCATTCAAATAAACATCGCCGAACTTGGATTCTCAATATTTACAAGAATCAAAACCTCGTTTCGCTTGTAGTAACAGCCACAAAGGCTCTCTGATCGTTCACGGTTTTATATGATACCGCCGCAAAGGGCCATGTCAATTGAAAGGTAAACGGCGTAATGGTTATTGATACTTGGGTCGAGGAAAGGTCAATCCACATGGTATAAGGACACGCTTGATTGGTCTGAAAGGATTGATATTATAATGTGATTGTGTTGCCTGTTGAGCGTTGGAAGGGACCGACATGGCCACGTTGAACTGGCACTCCAAAGTTGTCGAACAAAGAAATGGAATGCATTAACGTTGTTGGCGGTAAACATAGTATGGATTCGTTTATGCGATTAGGAATGTACGAAGGTTGATAGAAGATATACATAAACCTTTGTTTTTACCTCACATTACATTACACTACAAATATTATATTTTATTATATAGGTAGTATTTTTCCTGTACCACGATTGGTCAAAAGACCGTCACATGATTGACTACAAAACACGATATTGACTTGAGTTTTCTGATAAATTACGATATTGACTTGGGTTACTAAATATAGACAAGGAATCCCGTACGAAGAGGCTTCCCCCGCTTTTCAGCCAATCAGATCACTCGGATAGATGGCACAGTGTGTGCATTAAAAGTTTATGTTAAAACCCGTTTCTCTTTCATTATATAATAAAACAATTATAGACTCTTGTAGAGGTCGATATCGGTTTTTATTGACCTGAGTAAACAATATCGACCGAGCTTGCGAGGTCGATTTTATATTTTTTCTCAGGTCAAGGTCGATATCGGTTTTTATTGACCTGAGTAAAACAATATCGACCGAGCTTGCGAGGTCGATATTGTTTTCTCAGGTCAATAAAACCGATATCGACCTCTACAAGAGTCTATAATTGTATAATTTCATATTATATATTGTATTGTATTGTATTGTATTGTATTGTAATGAACTGTATTATATTATTTTATATTATATATTATATTATATTATATTATATTATATTATATTATATTATATTATATTATATTATATTATATTATATTATATTATATTATATTATATTATATTATATTATATTCATAACATTTACAGTTACATTTTGAATTATTTTTACTTTTAGGTGTAATTTAAAACTTGAATCAATTTATTCTACATTGTATATGATTACAATTTCATACTATTAGTGTGTAATTAATGAATGTCTTTTTCAGCTGTCCTACTCATATATTTTCAAAAACGATGCAACATTTTACCATGTCATTTGCAGTTATTTTTAAAAATGTTTTGTGACATATGCTTCATACCACTTACTTCGAGCTCATACCGACAAATCCCTTCCCCAAAACAAAAGAAATGTCTTCCAAAGACAAGTGTTTGGTTATATTTGTTTGGAGCCATTCTACCCATCTGTTTTCCTAATTTAACAACTTATCGTAACTATCATGATACAGACTGGGGCTTTTCTAAATGAATAAAAACATAAGATTAAAACGCATTTATTAATATACTTTGATAATCAAACACATCGCTGTTATATATACTCATAGAAACAAATAAGGGAACTCATGAAAGAACAAGTGTTCCTTTATATATTTCCTAAATTTCACACACAGTGCAATACATACCTTCTGAAGAAACCTGGAAAAGAATACAGAAACACATGTAACTTCATGTGTTCCCTTATTCGTTTCCATGAGTATATATTGCCCGCAAAGCTCTAGTTTCAAGGCAGGGTGTCAAAAACATGTGACAAACACATCTAGTGCACATCGAGAAGCCATTGTGGCCAGTCGATTCCCATTTTATTCCGATTATATCACGATCCATCCAAACTGCCATAGCGTCATGAATTACTTTTTTGAACAGAGACAACGCTAGTGACAATGGAGTACATAGTATGGGGGACAGCGGGAGACGTCACACACTGACGTCATAGCACCACGTGACGTAAAAGTGCTCACGTGACGACATGGCACACTTCGTAGATCACGTGATAGAGGTCATCTCAAAGCCACCGGACCAAAGAACAGATCAGGATGTGAATGAGATATTGCCATGGTTACGTAAACGATCGAACACCGTGTACCATCTAACTAGAGGTATGTTCTGAAAATTGTAAACACGCCACAAAAAAGTGGCAATAATATAGCCATTATAATTTTAGAAATCTCTTTTAGAAGCAGAGTCTCACTGTTCGACTCAAATAGTGGTTGTATCAGGCGTTCGCGATATTACCTCTCACAAACACACGCAGGGCAAGTCAAGTAGCCACCTGAACAAACGAGAGAATGTATGGTATAAATAAAGTGGGTAATCAATTTGGACATCATTTTTGACAATTTGGAAATGTCATGTTGTCTGTTCGTACGTTCACCTTCTGAAATATGGTGAGAAAAGCCTGGAGCTATTGGAATATTGCTAAGCATCCAGGTACAAATAACCACAGGAACGTTAAATGCAACACGTCTCGATCTGCCGAAAGATACCATATTGTGTGTAAGAGGCAAGTTCCTAATGGAAATAGCATGAATGGATCACTGGAAGTCACAATGAAGGCTTGTTGTTTAACTCTGCATGCAGCAATCTTCCAGCTATATGGCGGCGATCTGGAAATAATCAATCTGGAAATAAGTGTATGTTCAGATAATCCAGTGATCAAAATCCACAATGACAGTAGGACACGCATGTTTTTTTTCATCCGGTAGCCATCATCTCTCTTGTCACAAGATAGACTAATAGGGACTTAGACCACATACATAGTTGCCTGTAAAGTGTGTTTTTATTGATGTTCCTTGCAGCGGTTCTCAAAAACCTGATACGAAACTGCCATTACCGGAAGTCGTCCCCTAATGACGTCATCATCAAGCAGGGCGAGCTGGGAGACTGGTAAGAAATAGATCGGTCAATTACTTTGTTTCTGTGGAACACTGACAACAAACAACATGAACGTTTAGCCAGCATGTGACCTTGACCATGACCATTCTTGGTGAAGGCCGTCAATGGGCAAAATAACAGGACAGCAATCCAACAGAGACCTATAAGATACGTTGGGGACGATTTGGTAGAGTGATGGCGACTCGTCACATAACTGCACATAGCAAGGATATTGTGTATACCAATGTGATCTTGGTAAAATTATGTTAAGTGGCTCCTTATACAATATGTGTTCTGAGGCTCCTCGTGAAGTGTATGAATGGTGTCCCTAGTAAGATGTATGCTCAGACGCCCATGGTAGAATGTATGCTCAGAGGCCACTGATAAAATGTGTGTTCAGAGGCCCCTGGTAAAATGTATGTTCAGGTGCCCCTAGAAAATGTGCGTTCAGAGGCCCCTTGTAAAATGTGCGTTCAGAGGCCCCTGGTAAAATGTGTTCTCAGAGGCCCCTGGTAAAATGTGTTCTCAGATGCCCCTGGTAAAATGTGTGTTCAGATGCCCCTAGTAAAATGTGTTCTCAGATGCCCCTGGTAAAATGTGTGTTCAGAGGTGACTGGTAAAATGTGTGTTCAGATGGTCCTGGGAAAATCAATGTTCAGTGGCTCTAGGGAAAATGTGTGTTCAGCAGATCCTGGTAAAGCGTGGGTTAAGGTGCCTTTGGTAACATACTAGTATGTGTTCAGAGGATCGTGCTATAATGCTTTTCGGCAGCAGCTTCCAGATAACCCCATACCTTCTATCTCTGTTTCTGAGAAAGCTCACGTTTTAAATATGTCCACACTTAAAATGTTACGCCTGTGGATAGTCCAACACTAAGCCTTCTAATTGTTTGTGTACTTTGACTTATTGGGAGAAACATTTTTTCAGGCGTCGTCATACCTTTACCTATATACAAGTAAATAAACACCACACGCACGCACTCACGCATGCAGGCACGCAAACAAATACGGAAACCAAAGTGCGCTGCTTTTCGTTGCATTCTGCTATTCGACTCATTGTTAACTACCTGAAGGAACTTGACCTTTATCATAAATTGTAGTTATGTAATGTGAATAACTGAATAACGAACTGCTTACGTTCGAATTTGGTGCTATAACAATGTAAATAATATATATGCTTTTGAATAACAACTCATTTGGACTTTGAACTTAAAACGTTTATAAATTTACACTTGATCCCGTCACTATAGGGCTGGAATAATGCCGTAAAACCCAACTCAATTCAACTCAACTCGACACAAAAGAACTATGTTCAGTTTTGAGGAATCGGGTAAAAATATGGGAACTATTTTTTCAGCATGTACATCATCCTCCGCGGAAGGATATCGGTGTACATCGACCCGTCCATGACGGGGGAAGATGAGGGGTTCACGCCGGTGCCCTCCTCCCCTAGGAAACATGCACGGGTGGAGGAGTCATTCCCCACAGAGATGACCGTGAAGAGGCGGAGAGCCGGGGACAGGTCTTCTTATGGGAAATTCATCATACACTTTGGTAAGCATTGAACGAGCATTGATTGTGTATCAACGAATGAATGTTGATTTACGCCGCACCAACATTTGTACTCCAGTTGTAGATAGTATTCTCTCTTGAACTTGGCGATCTTAGCGTTACGACTGTCGTAACTCTATGTTAAAGTATAGGAGACACGATAGTCGTAGTCCTCTGATGGCTTGGTGAAACCGGTCACTTAATGATTGTGTATGAGTGACGTTTAATAATAATAATATGGACATTTGTAGAGCGCAGTAGTAACTCCACACCTCAAGGGCATGCTCTTTGCGCAACAGTAAATATGTACACTATATACAGGAAGAAGTGTTATAAGATTTAGTTGTGGTTGAACAAGAATGTGTGTGTTTTGAGTCTTGATTTAAAGATGGAGATGGAAGGAGATGACTTGACATGGAGAGGTAGTGAGTTCCAGAGGGAAGCTGAGTGAACGCTGAAAGATCTGCCGCCAAAAGTTTGCAACTTGTATTTTGGGACACTGAGAAGACCTTTGTCTTGAGATCTGAGAGACCGCGCTGGAGTGTAGGGTGTTATAAGATCTTGCATATAGGAGGGCGATGAACAGTTTAGTGCTGAATATACAAGAGACAGCGTTTTGAATTTTATTCTTGCGCGGGTGGGAAGCCAATGGAGTGACTTTATGGGAGATATGAGACATCTGGATTTGGTTCTAGTGACAAGTCTTGCTGCGCTGTTTCCATGTTTAACTTAGGTAACGGTACAACAGATAACAGATCACGCGAGCATCCATGCCGCATTGCTTGTGAAATATTATTGAACACAACTTTAAACTCATTACACCCCCCCTAACATCCAGTTATATAAGTATTTGGGCCTGTATAAAATGAAATCTGGGCTGAGAAAACTAAAGGTTCATTGCATGACTAGCAATCCTTGTCGTCGGGTACAAAGACGCTCTATCACCATGGTTAAAGTTTCAAGGGAGCGGGGTGGGGGACCAGGGGTGGTGGTGATGGTGTGGTAGCCCAGTGGTTAAAGCGTTCGCTCGTCACGCCGAAGACTCGGGTTCGATTCCTCACATAGGTACAATATGTGAAGCCAATTTCTGGTGTCCCCCGATGTTATATTACTGGAATATTTTTCTGTTTTACTTGTTTGTTTTAAAATTAAAAAAATGTTTTTTAATAAGTTTTTGTCGAACCATCCCTTATTCCAGTGACAGTCTGCGGTAACCTGCGGATTGGTAATTTTTTCAATACCATGTTTGAAATAACAGAAATTGTGTCGGAAAAACTACAAATTTCTTGATGTTTTAAGAATAGATGTGTAAGAAACCCAGCAGTTGCTTGTTTGAGGATTTTTAATAAAACGTTTCGAATCAAAAGTTATTTTAAAAAATAGCGGCCATGTAAACAAGCCGGACGTAATACTCTAGTACTGCTAATACTCGTGATGAACCGGGTTAGAACTGGTCTTCACCAACCCATGTTTGAGGCGACTAACGGGATCGGGTTGTCAGGCAAAGAGATCCCACGTGCCGTGATAAGATATAACATTTACCATGTCCTGTGCTATATATGTACTTTTCCTATGATTGGAGACCCACGAAGATCCGGATTAGAATTGATCTTTAGTAACCCATGCCTGTCTTAAGAGGCGACTAAAGGCATCGGGTGGTCAGTTTCGCTAACTTGGTTGACACATGTCATTGTATCCCATCTACGTACATCGATGATCATGCTGTTGATCACTGGATTGTCTGGTCCAGACTCGATTATTTACAGACCGCTGCCATATAGCTGGGATATTGCTGAGTGTGGCGTAAAATTAAACTCACTCACTCACCTATGGTTAGATATAGCATTTGCACAGTCTTCACTCACTCATCCAATGTTTCAGAGTCAGGGAAGAGTTTTGGCGAGGTGGCCTTGATGAGTGAGGACAATATCCGTAACGCCAGTATCATCACGGACACCGACTGTGACTTCCTCGTGGTCGACAGAGAACTCTTCAACTCATCACTAAAGGTATCCGCCCTGTCTATACTTGTGTATGCCCGATCTATTGACATTTATCATAAGTTGGGAAAAAGTTTAAATGTAAAAATGTCGTTTTACGCCGCTTTTAACATTATTCCAGCAATATGATTCACTAACCCAGCCGTCCTTCCAACAACTCACTTACCGACCAATCGAATCACTCAATCACCCAGCCGTCCTTCCAACAACTCACTTACCGACCAATCGAATCACTCAATCACCCAGCCGTCCTTCCAACAACTCACTTACCGACCAATCGAATCACTCAATCACCCAGCCGTCCTTCCAACAACTCACTTACCGACCAATCGAATCACTCAATCACCCAGCCGTCCTTCCAACAACTCACTTACCGACCAATCGAATCACTCAATCACCCAGCCGTCCTTCCAACAACTCACTTACCGACCAATCGAATCACTCAATCACCCAGCCGTCCTTCCAACAACTCACTTACCGACCAATCGAATCACTCAATCACCCAGCCGTCCTTCCAACAACTCACTTACCGACCAATCGAATCACTCAATCACCCAGCCGTCCTTCCAACAACTCACTTACCGACCAAAATCACTCAATCACCCAGCCGTCCTTCCAACAACTCACTTACCGACCAATCGAATCACTCAATCACCCAGCCGTCCTTCCAACAACTCACTTACCGACCAATCGAATCACTCAATCACCCAGCCGTCCTTCCAACAACTCACTTACCGACCAATCGAATCACTCAATCACCCAGCCGTCCTTCCAACAACTCACTTACCGACCAATCGAATCACTCAATCACCCAGCCATCCATCCACACATCAACTCAACTATCCATCCAATCACTCAATCACCCAGCCGTCCATCCACAAACCCAATCACTCACTCACTCAACCAGCCGTCCACCAACCAACCCATTTACTGAACCCCCCAATCACTCACTCACTCAGCCACCCACCCAGCCACCCACCCGCCAACTGACTTACCGACCCCACTCACTCACTCACTCACTCACCCAATCATTCACCCACCAACTAACTCAACGACTCACCCAACCATCAAACACCCAACTCACTCACTTACCGACCCAGTCACCCACCCACTCACTCAGGCTCACCTTCTTTATTCATCCAATGAACAGTCTCATGTTCGCACCATCTATTTCCGTACTTCAAATATTTGTCTAACAGATATCAACAGAAACCGGGTTAAGTCTGTTACATATGCTCTACATTGTCACACTGAGATCTGATCTTTCTGTTCTGATATATCTTTGCCACCCTGACCTCTTGACCCCGGCATAAACTGAGTTATCCGAAATCTGTCAGCAGTAACATATTTAGACGTTTAGCTGTCAGGAGAGTGTCGGGGCTGAAGTCTGACCATGTCTGAAAATGCCGACGACGACAGTGACCTCGTAGACGTGAGCAAAACTTTCTTGTTCTTTATGTAGTTTAGCACGACATATACAACAACACAAATAACAATGCAACAACAGATAGTATGGGAGACTGGGTGGTCCTTGGCAACACGGGAGACAGGATGGTTCTGAGCAGTGTTGGAGACAGGGTGGTTCTGAGCATATTGGGGACAGGGTGGTTCTGAGCAGTGTTGGAGACCGGGTGGTTCTGAGCAATATAGGCGACAGGGTGGTTCTGAGCAATATTGGCGACAGGGTGGTTCTGAGCAGTGTTGGAGACCGGGTGGTTCTGAGCAATATAGGCGACAGGGTGGTTCTGAGCAATATTGGCGACAGGACGGTTCTGAGCAGTGTTGGAGACCGGGTGGTTCTGAGCAATATAGGCGACAGGTAGGTTCTGAGCAATATTGGCGACAGGACGGTTCTGAGCAATATTGGAGACAGGGTGGTTCTGAGCAATATTGGAGACAGGGTGGTTCTGAGCAGTGTTGGAGACAGGGTGGTTCTGAGAAATATAGGCGACAGGACGGTTCTGAGCAATATTGGAGACAGGGTGGTTCTGAGCAATGTTGGAGACAGGGTGGTTCTGAGCAATATAGGCGACAGGACGGTTCTGAGCAATATTGGAGAATTGAGTGGTTTTGAAGAATACTGGAGACAGGCGGGTCCCGAGAAATGTTGTAGACAGGATGGGTCCTGAGCAATACCGGAGACGGGGTGGTGCTGAGCAATACTGGAGACAGGGTGGTCCTGAGCAATACTAGTACTGGAGACAGGGTGGTGCTGAGCAATACTAGTACTGGAGACAGGGTGGTGCTGAGCAATACCGGAGACAGGGTGGTGCTGAGCAATACTGGAGACAGGGTGGTGCTGAGGAATACTGGAGACAGGGTGGTTCTGAGGAATACTGGAGACAGGGTGGTTCTGAGAAATATAGGCGACAGGACGGTTCTGAGCAATATTGGAGACAGGGTGGTTCTGAGCAATGTTGGAGACAGGGTGGTTCTGAGCAATATAGGCGACAGGACGGTTCTGAGCAATATTGGAGAATTGAGTGGTTTTGAAGAATACTGGAGACAGGCGGGTCCCGAGAAATGTTGTAGACAGGATGGGTCCTGAGCAATACCGGAGACGGGGTGGTGCTGAGCAATACTGGAGACAGGGTGGTCCTGAGCAATACTAGTACTGGAGACAGGGTGGTGCTGAGCAATACTAGTACTGGAGACAGGGTGGTGCTGAGCAATACCGGAGACAGGGTGGTGCTGAGCAATACTGGAGACAGGGTGGTGCTGAGGAATACTGGAGACAGGGTGGTTCTGAGGAATACTGGAGACAGGGCGGTTCTGAGGAATACTGGAGACAGGCGGGTCCCGAGAAATGTTGTAGACAGGATGGGTCCTGAGCAATATTGGAGACAGGGTGGTGCTGAGCAATACTGGAGACAGGGTGGTGCTGAGCAATACTGGAGACAGGGCGGTTCTGAGGAATACTGGAGACAGGCGGGTCCCGAGAAATGTTGTAGACAGGATGGGTCCTGAGCAATATTGGAGACAGGGTGGTCCTGAGCAATATTGGAGACAGGGTGGTGCTGAGCAATACTGGAGACAGGGTGGTGCTGAGCAATACTGGAGACAGGGTGGTGCTGAGCAATACTGGAGACAGGGTGGTGCTGAGGAATACTGGAGACAGGGTGGTTCTGAGGAATACTGGAGACAGGCGGGTCCCGAGAAATGTTGGAGACAGGATTGTCCTGAGCAATACTGGAGACAGGGTGGGTCCTGAGCAATACTGGAGACAGGGTGATCCTGAGCAATACTGGAGACAGGGTGGTCCTGAGCAATACTAGTACTGGAGACAGGGTGGTCCTGAGCAATACCGGAGACAGGGTGGTCCTGAGCAATACTGGAGACAGGGTGGTCCTGAGCAATACTAGTACTGGAGACAGGGTGGTCCTGAGCAATACCGGAGACAGGGTGGTCCTGAGCAATACTGGAGACGGGGTGGTCCTGAGCAATACTGGAGACAGGGTGGTCCTGAGCAATACCGGAGACAGGGTGGTCCTGGGCATTTTTTAGATTGTGGTGTATCTTAGTCGTGACCTCAAAAGTCAAAATCGGATATCATTTTCTCATTTAACAAATCAAAAGTATTGTCTAACTATTCCACGGCACAGGGAAAGATTAGAAGATGATTTACCGATTTGTAATTTTTCCTAAATATAAAGGACAACGTAGGATTTCTGCATGTCATTTTCTTTTGTTAAACTCAAAATAAATGTAAATTGAGGTTCTATCTAGAAATGTTATGTTCTTTAAGCAAGTGAAATTACAAAAAAAATTCTTGTCATTGTCGATCTCAATATGAAAGAAAATATGTGTGGGTGAGTATTGCCTGCGCATGTATTTGTGCCATATGACAGCGATGGGCCAGGATACACTCACCTGTACCTGAATACCGGCACTATTTTACGCTGCTTTCAGCAATATTCAAGCAATATCACGGCTGGGGATTTGAAACGTAACACATGACACCCATGTTGAGAATCGAACCCAGTCATCGGCGTGACGAAAACCTCTTTAACCACTAGTCTAACGCCATGGCAAATTGAGATTTTACGTCCTTGAATCCAAGTACGCCATAGAACAGCGGCGTCTAGTTATCTTGGTGATTCTTGCAAGATTTATAAGTTGTTCACGGGTCTCGAAGGGGACATGGGTTGATGTACCCTCGATGTTTGTTTATGTTCCCTGAGCCCGAAGGGTTATCTTACCGAACATATCAATGGTAATTTTGAACTGTTTGAAGCACGGGTATAGATCGTAGCATGGAGTACCAGACGACCAGAAAAACAAATTTAGAGTTATCTCCCTTCCATTGATTTGCATTTGCAAAATATCGGTAATTTCCATACATCATACGTGATTCAATGTTATTCGAGATAAAGAATTACTACTACGAAGTACCAAATGAGTTCGGCATTCCCAGCGGGGTACATAGAAAATGTAATCGGGGTATATTGAAAATAATAGAAGAGCGCTCAGCCAATCAGAAAACAACATTTATGTGTGAGGCAAGATAACTGACTATGTTCCGCAGTGACTGCCAACTGTTTGACTTGACACTGGCGGTGAGGTGAGGATGAAGAGTCCGCTCGGAGAGCAGATGATGGTTCTTGTTCTTACCAGGGCGGTGGGGTAGCCCAGTGGTTAAAGCGTTCGGACGTCACGCCAAAGACTAGGGTTCGATTCCCCACATGGGTACAATGTGTGAAGCCCATTTCTGGTTTCCCCCGCCGTGATATTGCTGGAATTTTGCTGACAGCGGCGTAAATCTAAACGCACTCACTCAATGATGATTTGAAGATTTTACAGGCGCTTTTTAACATGATGTGTATTTCGCACACAGATTTCGGGTTTCATGGAAACCGGATGTTTATAGCCAGTCAACTGCTTTGCCTCGGAAAGGTGGTTAAAGCGTTCGCTCGTCACGTCGAAGATCCGGGTTTGATTCCACACATGGTTACAATGTGTGAAGCTCATTTATTGTGACCCCCGCCGTGATATTGCTGGAATATTGCTAAAAGCGGTGTAAAACCATACTCACTTACTAAATCACTCACTCGTTGTGGACAACTCTGAACCCTACGGGGTATTGTATTTCATAACCCAGTAACAAACATTCTAGCCCTCTAGGAGGACACTATCACCTCACATTACCATGTCACTCGTGGTGCCAAAGTCTAAGGTTCGATTCCCCACAAGGTTGAATACGTGGATTTCGTTTCCAATGTTCCCCGTCGTGATATTACATGAATAGCGCTAAAAGCGTTTTAAACAATACTCACTCACCCACTCATTCACTCACCCACTTCCCTTCACTCACCCACTCTCTTCCCTTCACTCACTCACTCATGCTGACAAGTATCACTATAACGTGCACTACAAATGAAACACGTAAACATTGTTTGACAAAATACAAATGTACACATTCCGTTGATACATCGGTTCCTTTCTTTTTTTGTATCAAAATAGATAAATCACCGCAACATATATAAACCATTTCATATATATCATTCTTTTCTATCATGAATGTGATATTTACAGTTTAATTCTACTATCTTAATTCTTTCGGGCTTGTTTCAGGAATATGAAGAGAGGTCGTACGCCGAATGCCGCCATTTTGTGCAGAAACATCCCTTCTTCTCGAAAATGTCCCAGCGCTTCAAACGACTTCTTACACTCAGTTTACGGAAGGAGAAATACGGCTTCGAGAGTACACTAGTGAAACAAGGGGAGCCAATCATTGGCCTTCATTTCATACTCAGGTAAGTCTGACTCAATTTTGGTATCCTTGGTAACACGCTGTGTGGCGTCTCCTTATTTAGCTTAGGTTACTTTATTGGAAATATAATCTGTGCTCCCAGCAGTAAATGGGTACCTGGTAGGAGGAGATGAGAGACTAGTGCCTCACAGGAACTGGGGTTGTATACTTCCCAGGTAGCTGAGAAGAAAATTCGGCAGTGATCAAGTGACGGTGGTAATGATCATCTGATGATACGACACGATGATAACGATATAAGATCTATGAACAAATATACTTAGATTTACTCCTCGTAATTGCCACACTTTGACCTTTTTTCATCGCGGATTTCATGCCTTGAATTCTATTGCCTTAAAAGTAAGTATAAGTCAAGGCAATCACTTGATTGTCTGGTTCGTTTATAAGCCGCTGTCGCATGACAAGAGTAAAATACGGAATTGTTTTTTGAGGAAAGTCAACGATGTCTATTCTCTTGCACTGACGTTCCCATTCTCAGTGGGTAAGAAATCTACAAAAGCGGAGTTCCGTTGATGTCAGGATCTGCAAACCGTGGGTTCGAATATCGGGAACACAATGTTTCCGAATTGTATCATTTCCTTTCAGTGCGTTTCGTTGTTTCAATGAAAAGAATGAAATGCCATACTTGGGAGGTTGTACGGCAGTACGTTTGTAAGGCCACCCGTATTTTAAATGTGTTTCTAATGTCCAACCTCAACCAGGTGAGAGCAAGGCGGGAGAAAATTGAATACAATAGTTAACAACATATTTTTCACTTCTGAATTTTATGAAATTATGCCATTTTTCAGAATCTATTTCAGATACTTTATGATCGATAGATTCGCTCAGCTCGGGAAACATTGATAATACACATAGATGAAGAAATGTCAGGCTGACCTCATCTTTTATGATTGTTCAAGTGTGATAGTATTTGCTTTCGTCACATCGGAATACATTTAAACAGGCTGGTTATTTGTGACAATTCTTGTCATTTTACGAAATTTCACAGGGGGGCGGGAAATGGGGAAACACACGCACACAAAAACAACCTTCAGTGAGTGAGTGAGTGAGTGAGTGAATGGGTGGGTCGGTGGTTGATTGATAGAGTGAGTGAGCGAGCGTGTGAGTAAGTGAGTGAGTGTGTGAGTGAGTGGTGGGTGGGGGGGGTTTATGAGTGAGTGAGTGGGTTTGCGGGTGGGTAAGTGAGAATGTGTCAGTGGGTGAGTGAGGGAGTGTGTGAGTGAGTGGGTGAGTGAGTGAGAGAGTGAGTTGGCAGGAATACCCAAACCAACAAAATTCAATTGCCACCTGATCTGTATTTATGACAAGTATTGAGTGGATACGGTTTCACGTCCGATTTTACAAAATCACGCAATATCACGGCGGTGGACACCATGCATGAACTTCACACTTACCACCATCATCCAGTCAGGACCAGACAATGGGGTGATTGACATCATGAGCATCGATCCACGCAATTGGGATACGATGATATATGTCAACCATGTCAGCAATAGTCCTTGAGCCAGACCTTGACAATATTGATTTGACTACCAAATTGAGGGGCAAACAGTCACTATGATTTTTATATAGCTTAAGGTATGCACTGTATGAAATCACGTGATGGACACCTCCCATGCCCAGCTAAATAGTGTTTTGGCGGCCATTTTCTTGAACCAGACCATCTGTCTACAAAAACAATGCTACAGCTAAATCTATTAGCATTAGACAAAGAAATGTGGGTGAACTATGTTCAGTATTCACTTTCCCACATTGTGAAAACTATTTAGCTGCGCATTGGAGGTGTCCATCACGTAATTTCATAAAGTACATACCTTAAGCTATATAAAATTCATAGTGACTGTTTGCCCCTCAATTTGGTAGTCAAATCTCATCTGGCTCATGGACTACAAGCCTGACAACCCGATCCTGTTAGTCTCCTCTTACGACAAGTATGGGTTGCTGAAGACCAATTCTGCGATTTTCCTTGTACTCAGTCTGGTGATGATATCACAGAACGTGTTAGTCTCTGCGTATCATTACAGGCCTGTATACAGGCAGCCTTCACGCTATTGCCCTTGAACTGGTGATAATACCATAAAATATGATAGTCCTTTAATTACTTTCAGAGGTCTGACTACAAGCTGCCTAAATATTATTTTCCTTGACTTGGTGATACTACTGTACAGCTTGTTAGTGCTTGTGTTGCAGAGGTCAGGCTAAGTTCTTCATGGAGCCTTCTCGGCATCGACACCAATATCCTAACCTCTGGCCCTTTGAAGCTGCCATTGATATCTACTCCATTGAATTTGATTGGCTAAGGTACGTACCTGGTTGAACGTGACTGGCGGAGATAAATGAGATATTTCATTTGCATTGGTAACATTGATGGACGTGATGAGCGCCAGCTTAGACCCTACTTGTTCTAGGTGTCTCCTTTAATGTGCATATCCCCTTGTGATACAAACCAATAATAGCGATTTGAAACTGTGATTCTTTATTAAACAACTTTTAGCCTAAGCTGAATAAAAATCTGAGATTTAAATGTTCAAATGGCAAGGTAAAATTATGAGGATTCGCAATCTTAATGTCACTTTATTAGGGCTCCTTGCCGCTAGGCAGGAGACCTATTGTGATCGTTCGGATTATTATTATTATTTTTAGTAGTAGTAGTAGTAGTAGTAGTATTTATTATTCCGCCGATTTTTGTACCAAACATAACTCCTAAACCAATACCCCGAATCGCTCACAAAAAATCACAGATGCGCACCGAGGTGTAGATATTCCCCTTAAAAATCTCTAGGCTCTAGGCCCAATAGCAAAGGGGAAATAATTCAAAATTAATTCCAAAATTTCAAAGTTTGACAGCAAATATCTCAAGAACTAATTGTTCCAACACTTCCAAATCTCTTGTACAGATGCACAATCGGATTCCCAACAAGTTTGCCTGGACGGGTCAAGTCGCTAAAACGTACCGTTTGGCAGTTATTTTTGTTTTCAGTTTTGGCCATGTTTTTCAGCAGTTTTCTGAGTAGTTTGCTCCTAAAATGTGCAAATTCTGTTGGTGATTCTATAACACTAATTGTTTTGACCGTTGACCCAAGAACAACTGAGATACAGCCTTTTAAAGAGGGAACTATTTCTTCTCCGGAACTTCTTAAAAGGTACATGACCCCCGCGACCTGTTATTTGGAAGATCCGCTCGCCTGTCAAAAACGTGTTCTGGCTCCGTTTTGGACGATGATTTCTAGCCCTCAGATACAATAGATAGAACTAAAGCCAAGGAGCCCTCATCGTTGCCTGCAACTATATTTAGATTACTTTTTGTTAAAAGGGAAATTCATGGGTATGTTTTAACTGCAAAGAGACTGTAAGTGTGTCATCGTATACAGACTACATTGGTCGTTGTTCATGCTATCAACCTCTGGTTTGCCTTGCCAGGATTCAGTTATTCATAAGCCGCTGATATATAGCCTAATACTGCAGGCAGGGACGTATAATGTATGGCGAGTGATGTAGAATGTCTTTGGGGGTGAGTAAGTAACGTACGGTTTCAGGGTATGGAAAAACTTGAGATTCGATCTCCAATCATAGAATGGTACGTTATTCCGGTCGCAAATAGCTACACCTTTGGCAACTGGACCACCGTGCCTGCGTCGCTCGATTTTATTTTAGGTTATATGACTTGGTAACAAATAAATGACGATAAAAAATGATATTAAACTCTGAAGCCATGTCGCTCTAACGCGGGTTGATGGAATAGTCTTGGGTGTTTGTCTACCACCTGGAAGGCACAGGGTTGAATTCCCAAAATGTTAGGCACAGTTTGGTCTGAATCTGGCCGACTCGTTCGCTCGCTCGCTCCTTCCCCACCCCTTCCCTCCCTCACTGGCACACTCACTCACATATTTAAGTTAAAGGCTCAACATACATGGTTCTGCCCTGCCCTCGCCTGCCTTTTCGAAAGAGCAACCAATAACTCACCTACTCACTCTTGTTTCACAGGGAGCCAAGGAAGAACGCCATACTGCGGAAATACCGTGACCCCAACGCCCTACCCATGAAAGTGGACAATGTCGACCTTCGGCGGAGGAAGGGGTACGCCGCAGTGGAAAGGAAGCTTCATGAGAGGTCTGTGAGTCTATGTGGGGTCCAGAACGGGGAGGTGTTGGGGGACACCGAAATATGTTTGGGATTGGGAACGTACATGCAGACCGTCGTGTGTTCCACTGAAACTGAAGTGTTCATTCTCGACATGAAAAACTTTGACCGACTTGTAGGAAGGAAAAATCCAAATACTATCCAAATGATGAAGAAGCTTGTGGAATCTAAGTTAGCCATTCGCAAGGACTTGAAATATGCTCAACACATACCGCTCCTGAAGTTTTTGCACTATAAACTGACCGAAGGGTCTTTTCCGGAAGCCAAGAGACTACCTCCCTTGAAAGAGTCCAAGGTTGCTCCGGATATTGATCATGAAAGACAATACATCCTCGATAACTTTTTGGAAGGGAAATCTCCACTTGTAGATCCTCAAGTTCCTGGGGCCGTTTATTATAAGAATCTCATGCAGGAGAAAGCGAGAATCAGAGCCAATATTCGGAATAGAGGGTCTAGTTTCAATACTCAACATAAACCGAGGATAAGGAACCCAAACCGACGTCAGCCAAGAAGCCGCCGAGAGATTGTGGAAAGCCTTCAGCAGATGTTGGATGACGACTTGTTGATGTTCCAACAGCCCAGGAAAAAGAAACACTCTGGATCCAATGGTTCAGTCAGAACTGATGCTGCTTCTGAGGCTACTGGAAGCAGGAGGACAAGCTTCTCTGAGCCTTCCAGAAGCAGAACGACAAGGAAGGTTTGGATCAACTGGATCCCTGAACACAGACACCGATGACAAGGACTCCGTTAAGAGTGATGGGTCCTCTTCACAAAAGAGGTTCAACTCAAAATTTGTTCCTAAACCTCCATCAGAACCAAGCAGTGGTAAGTCCACACCAAGAAGAGGATTATCTCCCTTGAGTGTTTCGAGTGATGGGAAAGAAAAGGATCAGAATTTGATGCACCCGTTAAATGAGCCTAGCGTTAAGATATCCCAAGGACCTATTCCACCAGCGTCTTCCCGAGGGCCCCAGCTGACAGAGAGCACCAGCATCTTACCACCCATCCGAGAAGACACAGCAGAGCAGCTTCTCTCTCGGGAACGAAAAGAAAGTGCAGTTAGCAGAAAACCAAATCTTGAATCCCCGGAGGAGATTGTGGAACTGGAGCTGGAACAACCCAAAACTGTAAAGGATTTAGAACCCTTGAACATCGAAGCCCCTAAAGTAAACCCCGAGGAGGAATTCCATCTGCCACCAATAGCGTATGTCCCCCAGTCCACACGTAGGTCCAGCACAAGTACGGTGAGATCCAGATGGGAGCCTGCAAGGAAGATCATCCAGGAGAGGATTCAAGATCGTCTCGTGACTCAGTTAGCAGAGAAGGAACCTTCATACGCAGATTATGACACCAGCGAGAATTCCCTGAGTTATCTGGAGTCGAGGATCAGGTCTTTTCATCTCAAATACGGCAACAAGAACAAGATGACCCTCAAACTACCCAAGCTGAGACGGTACACTAGACATGTACAGGTATGGAGATTGCTATTGTGTCATATGTGAAGAATCTAGAATGTTTTCATTGTGAAAAGATAGCATGAACAAGGATGAGTTGTTATCAGTCCTGCAATTACCTAAAGGACAATCAGTTTGATATTATGTAGAGCCAGTCATTTGTTTCTTTAAACATAATAATTTTGTCAGCCACCCATTCAAAAAATCATTTTAAAATTTTGAAACTATCAATTCGGTCTAACATTCGTCTAATTTCCAAACGCAGTACGTTGATCTCCTAACTCACAAGCTTACTTTGAGTCTTCTTTCAAAGGGGACCCGTGAAGGTCCGGATTAGAATATTGGCCTTCAGTAACCCATGGTTGTCGTAAGAGGCGACTACCACATATCATCGGTTCCCAATTGCGCAGATCGATGCTCATTTTGTTGATCACTGGATTGTCTGGTCCAGACTCGATTGCTTACAGGCATATACCTGGAATATTGCGGAGTGCGGCGTAAAACAAAACTCACACACTCACTCTTTTAAGGGGGCTGTGGTAAAAACGTTAGCTCGTCACACCGAAGACCTGGGTACGATTACTCACATGGGTACAATATGTGAAGCCCATTCAGGTGTCCCATGCCTTCATATTGCTTGAATATTGCCACAAAGTGGCGTAAAACCATATTCACCTACTCACTCCTTCTTTCAGGAAACTCCAGAGTTACATCCTCGACCAGGTGGGAAGGTCTGGATCAGGAAACAGCTGTGTCAGTTTGCTGACAAGCGCGTGCAGGTCAAGGGTCACAAGCATGTTAGATACCACATGGTGGAATCCTTGCCCCAGTTTGACCACGTGAAAAAGACCCGGATGATAATGAACTACCTAATGAGTGCCAAAAACCAAACTGACGCACAATCACTTGGCAGTAGCAACCAAGCAATTACGTTCACCCAAGAGAGCTGATGCCTAACACAAAGTCTTGAGTCTCGTGGGATAGATATTCTAAGATACATGTGATTTGGAGCACAACCTGTATCATACATGCATCAAGGCAAGCAACCCCAAACTGACTTGACCGGTTGAACAATATGACTGGAGTATTGATGTTTCAAACCCAGTTCAGGGCACAAGTGCATGATTTCAACGCCACGCAATCTGCATTTGCACACCTTGCATAATCTCAGTCAAAATGGGTCACTACACTACAGTTTGTCTTCCATGGCCCACTTGCACAAAACGACCTCAGCGCAATAACTGTCTCAAGCTTTTGTTAAACCTGTAGCGATGATCGCAGCCCTTTGTGCAAGTGTGACCGTAGCTTCAACACGCTTCTGAGAAATTAAAGAGTTATCATCCTTGCAGTGAACTTTGGGCCTCACTTCGCTGATATTTTAAGTGTCAAACCGAGCTCCTAAATGTCTCTTTGCGTAAGGTTGCGTATGAGTGACAGGTCAGAGATTAGGCTATCGCTGGAACCTAAGGAACAGTCCTTGTGACATTTCCAAATGAAAGATATTTTATTGTTGGTATTGTTGTTTGCGTGTTTGGTGTTTGGTACACAGTGGACACAACAGTGTCCACAGTGCGTAGTGGGCGAGCTGGCTGAGGCGCCAGGCTAGTGATCCAGCGGGCACTAGGTGCCGGGATCGAGCCCACCTGTGACCGGGTGTAAAAACCTTGGAGTCAACTTTGTGTACAGACTCTATCAGTGTTGTCACAACCCCTAGTGTACAGCTCACAACCTGTGCACTTAAATGAACCCCCGAATCCGTTGGTATATGAACAGATGGTGGCCACATGAATACGTGCAAACACCTATAGTCTGTTTGCGGTGAAAACGTACCGATGAATTTCACTTTAAACAAAAATGCAAATCAAATAAAGAGAAAATAAGATAGCGAATCCTCATAATTTTACCTTGCCATTGCAAAATTTAAATCTCAGAGTTGTATTCAACTTAGGATACAAGTAATTTAACAAACGATCATAGTTTCAAATCGGTATTATTGGTTTGTATTACAAGGGGTATGCACATTAAATGAAACACCGAGAACAAGGAGGGTTGGTCTAAGTTAACGCTCATCACGTACCGCACGTGCATTTTTTTCACTGTTCCAACTACTGCGCTTACCCCCCTTGTAATACAAACCAATATAAGCGATTTGAAACAATAACCGTTTGTTAAACAACTTTTTTCCTAAGTTGAATAGAAATCTAAGATTTAATTTTTAAATTGGCAAAGTAGAATTATGAGGATTCGCAATCTTAATTTCACTGTATTCGACTTACATTTCTGTTTAAAGTGAAATTCACCGGTACGTTTTCACTGCAAACAGACTATAGTTGCGGGTACAGTTAGCAGGGGAAGGGGTATATCAGTGCCTTGAGCATGCACTAGTTGCCTGGATATGTGCGCTATATAAATATTCTATAATAATAATAATGGTTCTCCACTGTGCAGAACTAATAAGTTGGTGTCAGATTCTGACAAGTTTAATTGCTGTTTGTAGCTGCACCTAGAAATAGCTCAGCCTCCTGACGGTGCTCTGTGAGTGAGTGGGTTTAGTTTGTGCCGTTTTTAGTAATATTCCAGCAATATCACGACCGGGGACACCAGAAATGGGCTTCACATATTGTACTCATGTGGGGAATCGAACCCGGGTATTCGTCGTGACGAGCGAACGCTTTAACTATTAGGTTGCCCCATTGCCCCACGATGCTCTGTAATGGGGTTAGGTTGAACCAGACAATTCTGTGATTGTCATCACGACATTAATCTACACAGATCGGATACGATGGTATACATCAACCAAATCAGCAAGCCAGACTTTCCGATCCATCAGTCGAGTCTCAGATATGCATAGGACCGCCTCTGTGGTGTAGTGGTTAGAGCGTCTGCGGAAGGTCGCGGGTTCGATCCCCGACCGCGTCATACCAAAGACGTTACAATATGGTAATTGTTGGTCCCTGCCTGGCGCTCGGCATTAATGGGTACAAGAAGGACTGGTCGGGTACAAGAAGGACTGGTCGGCTCGGAGTCAGTATAATGTGTCTGAGGGGGTTATTCATGCTTCACTGCAGTGTGGTATCTCAGTGGGCTAGCACTATAAAACAAGCTTCAGTCTGGGCTAGTACAAGCAGCCGCCCATACACATACACACGCATATGAGCGAAATATTCTCAAGCACGACGTTAAACCCAATTTCTCCTCAGATATGCATGGGCTGCTGAAGACCACGTATTTCCCAGATCTTCGATATTTTCCTTGCTCTGCAAAAATCAAAAGTAATTTCTGAGTGAGTGAGGCGGAATGAATTTGATTCTATACCAAACGAATAGGTGGTGTATGGTTCGAACCCTAGAACATCGGTCCTATGTGGCAAATGATCTTAGGTGTTCGTTTTGGCGAGACCAACAAGCAATACTGGCAAACAAGGATAAGTTGAGTACCGACCTGACAATTGACCCGTATTAGCATGTATGAGTGCCCCCCACTGGCACTTGCCATTGTTAGCGAAGGGGACCCAGGTTGTCCACGATCAAGTGTTGTGTGACTTGCTACACCGATGTGAGAGTCTTATGAGCAAGGCGTGTGCAGCTACGCGCGGAATAAATTTCATCGTCATGCAATGCACGTGCACTAGCCTACATCTGCTCTAGCTTTCACAAACCAAATGGCTTTGCTCATTGCCGTGTGCCTACTTCTCGTAAACGCGTTCTCTGTGCCGGTCCAACTTATCCTTATTTGCCAGTAGTATGGTTCTGACCAGTGCTATAAGAACATTACAAGTTTGTTGTTTAACGTTCCACTTAGAAATAGTTCAGCTTCATAAAATCTGTCTGTATAACATCGAGTCACTGGGTCATCTACCTACGCAAAATGTCATCCGATGCCATGCATCAGACATGGTGATGAAGACCAGTTATAACCCGGATCTTCGCGGATCATCTTACATCTTACAGGGCAGATAATTCCGAGAAAGGTTTACAGAAATCTTCCCCTACTCCGAAATGTATATCATTAGCAATCTTGCCTAAATGCTGTACGTTTCTTGAGCTGAGGGTCATGTAGTCAGTTCTATGCGCAGAGTTGTGTCCCTTTGGCGTTCCAGATACACGTGACTGTTATGAAGAAATAGTTATTCAAAGTGATATTAAACCAAGTCATCTCATAGATACTTTCATGATCCTCAGGGCAGTGGTGTATTCTGGTGGGTGCATCGTTACTTCGTCTTAAAATAGCCGTGTTACGACATATTCTCAATATTATGATCCAAAAATATCATTTATATCATTAGTTTACTTTTTATGACACATTCAGTTTTGAAACATCACAGAACTATGGCGGATAGAAGATAAATCGGAAATATTCTCGATTAAAATTACAGTTTCTCCATAATTCCTCCCAAAATTGATTGTAACTGATTGTCTTTCTTTGTGGGTCGATCCGTGAAGATCCGGGTCTACAGTAACCCATGCTTGTCGTAAGAGGCGACTCGACATCGCCAGTTCTGTACATGCGCAAAAAATCGGGCGGTCAGGCTCACTGACTTGTTTGACATATGTCTTTGTACCCCTCGGAATATTGTTGAATGCGGCGTAAAACTAAACTCACGCACTCAAACTCTTTGTGGGACATATCACCTGTCGCGATATCCGTGCTCCTTGCGGCAATACTAGTATTCCGTTTGATGAGATCTCTGGGTAACGAGCGCGTCACATCCATGGATGGAGTTTCCACGTGTGTTTCCTACAAAGGGATGTAACTCTGTCAACACTCTGACGAACTTCTCACAGCACACTTCACATTCGCCACCACTCCCGTTTCCATAACCTCGAGGAACATACGTGACCAACTCATGCTATTCCGGGACAAGCCGAATATCTTCTTGGAGGTTTCGGAAAGGGGCGAGTGGTGACGAAAGTTGCCCCCCTGTGACTTGAGGGCTCATGTGACCCCAGTAACCATCATAATGCACGTGCTTTAATTAATTTCATTTTCATTGGCTGGGGTCCTTGTCAAAAGATTGATAAATACAATGGCGGACAGCATGAACAAGGAATCTTGAAATCAACCACCCAGGGCACATATTGGAATTGGACTTTGATCGTATTTGTTGCTTTTAACATCGGCAATATTCCAGCTATATGAATATGTGGCCTGTATATAATCGAGTGTGAACCAGACAAACAGTGATGGATATCATGAACAACGTACGATACTACACATTCAACTACGTCACCGAACCTGACCATCCGACCAATGTGCTCTCGTCTTTCGACAGACCCGTGAAAGTCCGGGTTAGACTATTGACCTTCAGTAACCCTTGCTTGTCGTAAGAGGCGACTAAAGGGATCGGGTGGTCAGGCTCGCTGACTTGGTTGACACGTCATCGGTTCCCAATTGCGCAGATCGATGCTCATGTTGTTGATCACTGGATTGTCTGGTCCAGACTCGATTACTTACAGACCGCTGCCATATGGCTGGAATATTGCTGAGTGCGGCGTAATACTAAACTCACTCACTCACTCGTCTTTCGACAAGCCTTCATTTAGTTGTTGGGATCCAGATTTAACCGACCCCACAGTCTCTCACCACCACCCCCTTCCATTCCCCGAGGTCTGGAGCAACTGAAACGAAAGGTGCGACCTTTAAGGTAGAACTTGCCGATAGTGTCAACCTAAGGTCAGAGATAGTGTGTAGTTCGGTATCTGTAATAGGTGTTATCTCGCCGGTATTCTCGTGACTGCACTGGGCCAAATATAGAAATAACTGTGAGATATAACACCTATACAAGGTACAATATAGACCATTGTATCGTAACTCATCTATTCCTGGAATATTGCTAAAAGCGGCGTAAAACTAAACTCACCCATTCACTGATAACTGATTAAAGTGAGTGGGTTGGGTACAACGCCGCATTAAAAAGTAATTATTGTAGTTATTTCTGGCGTGTCAGGTTACTGTAGGCGAGTGAGTGAGTTTAGTTTGACGCCGGCTTTAACAATATTTGAGCAATATCATGGCGGGAGTAGTATAGTAGTGGGGAGAAAAAGTAGTATGGGTGCACCCTGCTTGGGAGCTTCCATACTACCTAATTCCGCTCCCACAGCCACCAAAAAATGAGTTTTTTGCACAAAACTTCGATTATAAGAATCTCATTTTCGCTAGGGCTACCTATTTTTCAGCAACCGTTCTTTTTCGACCCGACACCAAGGTTGCTCGAACTTCCAATTAGACATATGGAGTTGTTATAGTATACAGGATACACTCCAACAACAACATGTATGGCAAAACAAATCGCAGTAACTTTCCAAGAAATGGGCATTCGGTGCAGCAAATCGATCGCACACCACCTCCTACTGGAAAACACGCACGACAACAACCTCGTGTCCGATATCTCGACGGTAGACGCTTTAACCACTGCCCAAGTCAAAACATTGATTACTCAACAGTCTCGTTTCCTGTTGACTGGGTTCCGTCCTATTGCACAACTGAGTACAATAACCAGTCCAGAATTTTAAGACCAATTCATTTAACTGGAGACATAAATATCAATCACTACGCTCCTTCTAATCCTTACAAACACGTCGTGCAGCGTGCTCTGTCGAACAGCGAGCTCTGACAAACGGAAACCTGGAAATCGTGCAAATCTCAACACGAGGGTCTGCCGCTAGAAAAGTTAAGCGGTCTGGTACGGAATTGATAAAGCGCTAAAAACACACGACAGGTGTAACCAGTGAGCCAGATGCATTGTGAATCATTTTACGACCTCATCAAGAGGGGCAGTCTATGACGTCTTAGTTAAGGTCATGCTGCCTACACCTCGCCAGAAAATATAGAAATACGATGTAATTAAAGTTTAAAACTAAAATTCATTGTAAATACCATTTTCTTATGAAACAAGGAATTGGAATTCAATGTAACCATAGTTGTTTGTGATGTCTATTTTCACTTTCACAAGATACAATTCGGATCGGCTAAAAAGTAGGTCATTCTCTAAAAAGGTTAATGAGACTCATGTTTCGGTTTGCTCAGCTTAATGGAGGAGGGAAATCTGAAGTGAAGCAGATTTTAAACCTTAACAACTTTCTTGAAATCCACGAGTACTGATATCGTGCAAACAACCCAAGAGATATACTCGGGGCGAACAGAGGTTCGATCCCACAACCCCTTGTGTGTGGCTCATCTAAGGGGCTCAACTCTGCACAGCGAAAAGCGGCGTACTGGAGACAAGGCCATCCCTACTCCAAACACTTGGTTGTTGATGTTAACATCGAACGAAAGTACCCAATAGGATATACCAATCTGAAAACGATTAGTTAAAACAGTTTTGCTTTGTATTTTGTTTAAAGCACGCACAGCAATTGGTCAGGCGGCCGGTAAATAACCGAGTCTGGGCTAGACAAACCAGTGGTTGATATAATAAACATAGGCCAACACCGTCGGGAATGGCGACGCGACGAGGAATCATCAGAATTATTGAGTCTGACCACTTGATATGTGGCATAATACGATTAATATAGTTAAGTTGGGGACAACTCGGAACCCGCAATGTAACGCTACGGGCTTTTGCACTGCATAGCGCAGTGACACATACATGGTCTCTCCTACAAATCGAAGCATTCCCCCATTCAACAAAACAAGAAATATAACCAACCCTACCCATTGGCGCATCCATGGTGTGTGTGTGTGTGTGTGTGTGCGTGCGTGCGTGCGTGCGTGTGAGTGCGTATTAGGTTAACGTGGAATACCAACACAGATGCCCTATATAGTAAATGTCAACAACGCGTCCTTCTAATGCGGAAACTGCGATCTTTTAATGTTTCCCAATCTGTTATGATGTTGTTTTATACCACTTTTATTCAGGGTAAACTCACTTTTACTTCTCAGTGCTGGTTCGAGTCTCTTTCAGTCAAAAACAAATCAATCCTTAACAAAATTGTAAATACAGCTAGTAAAATAGCCGGGGTCACTTTTCGATAATCTTTTACTTCTCTATGAGCGGCAAGTACTTTCAACGTCTGAAAAAAAATCGTTAATGACACCACACAAGTCTGGAGTACAAGCTTTTACCTTCGGTCGCCGCTATACAGCGCCAATCACCAAGACTAAACGAGCTCGAACGTCTTTTGTACCTCAAAGTATTGCAATTTTAAACAAATGTTGAATGTCCAGTTATCATCTTATTCATTTAATTCAATTTTAGAACATATTTATCTCTTTTTATGTTTTTAGTAATGTCATATTTTATGCTGTTATTCATTTGTATTTTTGTCAAGCTCTGTGAACCAAAACGAATTCCTTTTAAGGAAATACAGTATTGTCTGTCTGTCTGTCTGTGTGTGTGTAAGTGCTTGCGTACACCCTTGAAAATTCCTACCCGTGAAGGCCCGGATTAGAATGAACCTTCAGTAACCCATGCTTGTCGTAAGAGGCGACTAACGGGATCGGGTGGTCAGGCTCGCTGACTTGGTTGACACATGTCATTGGTTCCCAATTGCGCAGGTCGATGCCCATGCTGTTGATCACTGGATTGTCTGGTCCAGACACGATAATTTACAGACTGCCGCCATATATCTGGAATATTGTTGAGCGCGGCGTAAAACTATACTCACTCACTCACTTGAAAATTCCTGGATCCGCTTATGCACCCCATCCTTAAAAAAACCCAATCCATCCTCCATCATTCCCCACCCCTTAAAAACAAATCTCAAACAAATTAAAAAAGCAAACAAACAAAAAACAAAGGCAAACAAAAAACAAACAGGAAATACACACAAAAATCAACAACAAAAGAAACAAAAAGAAAGAACAATAAACAAAGCCCCAGAACAAAACAAAACCCCTTAAAACAACACATTTAACCCCTAAAATCACTGGTGTACGATATATAATGTTCCTCAAAGCATACGTCCCGAACTTTCGACCCAGCACATTGTGTGTGTTCTGAAGACTTTCACACGTGTGACCCCAAGGCAGATCCTTATCAGACCAGGACTAGGAACACGGCACAACACGCGTGGCTGACTCACAGGACCCGACACACAATGAATATCCTGGTCATTTCCAGCTTATTGTTTGCTTTGGGAGAAACAGCTTCGCTAAAATCGGGTAAGTATCTGTTTAAATGTCCATTAGTTTTGAAAATGATGTCCCTAACTTAGACTTACATAGCTACATAGTTTATAGTTAACATATATATACGTAGGTAATATATACCTAAAATTTACTTTGGTCCAGATTCCTTTGAATTTTTTCTCTCTTATAGCCTTGACTTTTGGCCTTGTATTTTGAAAAAATACGCGTTATTGTAAGTCTGATTGAGTGAATTGTTCGGTTTCTAGGGAGGCGAGGTGTTTTATCATTTGAAGATAAGATCATGTGGAAACTTATCATATGCTTTGCAACATGTGGAGAAGTGAATGACATTCTGAATGGATTGTTCTGTTGCTAGTTAATTATGACTATCATTTCCCACTATTCCTTATTTTTAACGTAAAACATTGTAGTAACATTAAATAACTTAACATTTTATGCAGACTTCTTTCTTACCTAGATTACTTTTCTGGTCGAAAAAGAAATTGAATTGCTGTTTCAATTTATTTCAGATAAAAGAGCCAATGGAGGTATGCAAACAGTATGATCTAATATCATAGTTATTTTTATTATTATTACATGAATATCACAGTTATACGGACATCTAATTAATTCTATTCAATTGCTACTGTCAGATACAGGGCGCATTAGATTTGACATGTTTTATAATCATGTAAATCATCCTAATACTCAGACACAGCACATGGCTTGCTGAGGACCGTCAAGATCCTTGTTAGAACTGATCTTCGACCCGTGAAGATCCGGGGTTGAATAGGTCATCAGCAACCCATGCTTGCCGCAAAAGGCGACTATGCTTGTCGTAAGAGGCGACTAACGGGATCGGGTGGTCAGGCTCGCTGACTTGGTTGACACATGTTATCGGTTCCCAATTGTGCAGATCGATGCTCATATTGTTGATCACTGGATTGTCTGGTCCAGACTCGATTATGTACAGACTGCCGCCATATAGCTGGAATATTGCTGAGTGCGGCGTAAAACTAAACTCGCTCACTCACTAGAATTGTTCTTCAGCACCCCATGCTTGTCGTAAGAGGCGACAAATCGGGTAGGCTGTCCAGTCTCGATGACTTGGTTCACACATGTCATCGTATCCCATTTGCGTAGATCAATGCTCATGATGTTGATCATTGGATTCCCTGGTCAATTATTTACAGATCGCCGCCATAAAGTTGGAATGTTTCTGTATGCGGCGTTAAATGACAACCAATCCAAACTAAATTTGTGTTAAACATACCTCTCTTATTTCTCAATGACGACGTGGGCTGCTTGTACAACGGCGTCTTCGAATTCCTGGGCAGCAAGTTCGGGAGTCTTGACGGTTGTAACGCCTGTGTGTGTACCGTGACAGGGATTCAGTGTACAGCCACACCGTGTAACGGAGCCCTGACTGCCGCACCAGTCACAGTACCCGTGTCTGTACCGGGCACAGGTAAATTCATTTAAAAACTGTTAGTCTAAAAAAGAAATCCAGTTTTATTATTTTCCCATACTCAAATTGCACTTTTTGATATAACCCGTTCTTACAGCACATCGTCAGTTAGCCAGGGCATTATGTCTCCATACAAATAACGCTTCGCTTCGGATGTGACGTCACCCTCTCCATCTGTCATCCGTAATCCAGCGTAAAATTTATATCCCTCGTGTTAGTAGTATGACTGGAGGGCTATTTAGCTGTGTATCTTCGAACTAATTCAAAACGAAACCGCACTTACGGCACCACAATATTTATTAAAATCAAACTGAGGTGTAATTTACATGACAATTTAGGCAACATAATCATAATAATTAATAATAAGAATGCAGTAAATATAATACGGCTGTTGAATGTGGCAGGTATAATGGAATTGGATGTAACGAAAGGCTATGTCCTTATGGTAAAGCCAGACGCCAGCATTATATTAAAAATAAATATCATGTACCATTTATCTGTAATGCCTATGATACAGAAATATAAGAAATAAGATAAGAAGTATAAAACAAAGTTCACTAAAAACCACTTACTCATTACTCTGTCGTAAATCTTTTGCAAAGCAAAAATGATGCTGTCATGAGGCTTATACTTATACTGACTGACTGACTGAGTTTGGTTTTACGCCGCTTTTAGCAATATTCAAGCAACATCACGGCAGGGGACACCAGAAATGGGCTTTACACATTGTACCCATGTAGGGATTCGAATCCGGGTCTTCGCCGTGACGAGCCAACGCTTTAACCACTAGGCTACCCCCGCCCCCTATACTTATACCATGTACAGAAATTGATAAACTCCAGGACATAGAGCTGCAAAGTTATTTTGCGCACCCACTAAACACAATGTCAGTCGGATTGTATCATGGGCGAGGGCCTCTTTACTGAATAAATACTGTCTGTCTGTCTGTCTGCCATAAGCATAATACTTTCATTTGTTTTTTCGTTCAGGACAATTGCTTAGAGTGACCAATAGATAGAAATACGGGAATTCCACCTTAAACAAACGTTTTAGCCACAAGGAAACTACATTCATATAAAGGAATGGTCTTTCCCCGAAACATCCTCGAACTTAGCTACTGTGGTTTGAATATATAAAATTTACACTTGTAGAGCTCTCTGGTCGACTGACATTTTTTTTCAGAGCAATGCTTTATAAGGGTCACATTCGCGATTCTTCATAAGAAACAGTCAATTTTAACTATGGGTACTTTTTATTGTTAAAACCTCATCCCAAAATGTCAGATTTGAAAAAGTAGATCACATGTCCTGATGCTTATTTGTGAGGGGCGGTGGGGTAGCCTTGTGGTTAAAGCGTTCGCTCTTCATGCCGACAACGTTCGACTCCCCACCATACTCCCTCACTCACATATTTGTGATAGATTATAATGATCGAGAGACATGTTTTGCACAAATTGTAGAGTCACACATTTTTCTGTCTTTTACAACAGGCGGTTGCGTGCACCCAGCGTCGTCTCAGCTGTACCAGAACGGCCAAACATACCCGTCTGCTGACGGGTGTAACACCTGCACGTGTACTAACGGGAACATTGTGTGCACGCACAAGACGTGCACAGTACAAGGCATAGGTAAAAGTGGGATTATGGGAAATTCTATATATATATATATATATATATATACATATATATTTAAAAGGTGGTTACCTGTTGCGAAGTGCATCAAGCGTTCACCCGTTACGCAGAGGTCCCAGGTTGGAGTCCACGGTACAACGTCGTGTCATCTGCTGTGATAATGGTGGAATATTGTTCGAAGATTCCTGTTCGATGCATGGAAGTTTCATTGCTACTTAAGTCCATCTTCCTTATTGAAGAATGTTCGGACTTTGAATGGTTGGACATTATGATTTTTGTGGTGCCAGTGTACCCACATTGTTTGTCTGTTGCTTAACGCCGCAATCAACAATATTCCCGTTATATGGCGGCGGTCTTTAAATATTTAAATCTGGACCAGACAATCCAGTGAGCAACATCATGAAAATCAATATACGCAATTGGGATGCAATGACATGTGTCAACCAAGTCAGCAAGCCTGAACCCCCGATGAATTGCGCATATAATCAACTGGAGCTGTGATCAGGGGTTGGGTATGTGCATCCTCTTTACCCGGTAAAATACGACAATAGCCACTGAAGTGTCAAAATGAAAACTGTCACATGTAGGATTCTGACTGACACCAACTCTGTGGCCCCGTGGGTAGAGTGCCTGCGGGAAATTCGTGGTTTGATCCTCATCCGCGTCATAGAAAAAGACGATGCTGCTCCTTATGTTTTGCCACCCTTCTCATATTTGTCGTTAAGGCGGATAAAGTAAGGCCTGATCGGCTCGTAGGCAGTGTAGTGTGCCTGGGAGTAGTATTAGAGTGTGGGGCGGTGGGGTCGCTCAGCGGTTAAAACGTTCACACGTCACGCTGAAGGCCCGAGTTCGATTCCCCACTTTGGTACCATGTATGAGTGAGTGAGTGAGTTTAGTTTTTCGCCGCTTTTAGCAATATTCCAGCAATATCACTGCGGGGGACACCAGAAATGGGCTTCACACATTGTACCCATGTGGGGAATACCATGTATGAAACCCAATGTTGTGTCCCCTGCCGCGATATTTCTGAAATATTGCTAAGAGAGGCGTAAAATCAACTCACCCACTATTAATGTGTTATCCAAACGTGCACAATGCTGTATTCGTTTATTCTTGACTTTTCCTCAGAATAAAATCATTTCAAGGACAAAATCGATTTTATTTCATTTACTCATAACACACATAACACACGCATTACAGATCCTCATTCATCTTTGTGATGTATTCTTAATGACAGAATTAAGGTTTTGAACAAATACAACGCGATTTTCTTATCTGCATTTTCTGTATTCCGCAGGAGGCACGTGCGTTGACCCAGTGACATCTCAACTGTATCAGAATGGTCAAACATACCGGTCATCTGACGCGTGTAACACCTGCACGTGCACCAACGGGAATATCGCATGCACGCACACCACGTGCACGGGTCAAGGTTCCGGGTTAAATATAGGTAATGAAGATTTGTGAATTCGAAAGTTTGCGGTTTGAAAACTGTCCACAACAGTGGGGTAGCCTAGTGGTTAAAGCGTTCCTTCGTGACGTCGAAGACCCGGGCTCCATTCCCCCTAAGGGTACAATGCGTGAAGCCAATTTCTGGTGTCCCCTGCTGTGATATTGCTGGAATATTGCTGAACGCGGCGTAGAACTAAACTCACTCACTAGTTATCTTGACTGGCTTCTCAGCATGCTTTCGACATATCCCGCAATGCTTTCCTGTGACAAAGTCTTCAAACGTTCTCCGTGTAGAGTTGTGACCTTTGACTATGGCAGAAACCTATGAGTGCAAAGCTACTTCCTTTGGCAGGGTCATCACCGGACATCAGATGTGTCTTATTTCAATTTGCACAGCTTCGTCACTTAGGTGTACCTGGAACCTATAGTCGTGGGTTCGAATCCAGCTTCGCTCTGCTTATATTTGTAGAGTTGTCAGCACCATACACGTGACCATGGCTTTCATTAAATTGGTGAAGTTTGACTTGCATCGATTTGGGCTTCGCTCACATGTCATGTTGTCATGCGATACAGCTCAAGCCGGTCATTGAAGTGTCAAAATGAAAACTGGTACTTGAAGAATTCTTTATGACAACGTTTGAAACTTCTAAACTGTCACTCACTCACTTTAATCGATTTTCAGGAGTCAATCTCCATCCCGGCGGAAATGCGCACACCGGAAGTACTTGCTATGACAACACTCAACACCTGTTCCACAACGACGGAGATTCATACACATCGCGAGATGGCTGCAACACTTGCACGTGCAGCACGGGCATTCTGTCTTGCACCAACCGCCAGTGCAACACGGGCACAGGTGCATACAGCAAGAAACGTTTTGAATGAGAAATCATTGACGATGTTTTATAAGCGTCTTGTGGTAGCTTGAATAAAATACCTCGCGATGTGCAAAACACAATCAAGACGAAAATTTTGCTTTGAAAACTCATCCATTGCTGCTAAATGCTTTATAAGGGGAAGTCAGACCCCTACTACTACTACTACTACTACTACTAAAAATACTACTACTACTAACTATTGTTATTATTACTACTTTCAGGCAGTGCATGCTATGACATCGCCACCAACAAGTATTACACCAACGGGCAGGTCGTCAGGGCATCTGACGGGTGCAACACCTGCACCTGCAGCAACAGCCAATTCCAGTGCTCACATTTGATGTGCTCGCCTATCGGTTGATCAATGTTATCTAAACTCGGGCAACGTCGGAATATAAATCTGTCAATTTGTTTTGTTTTATTTGTATTGTTTAATCACGGGGCAATTCCATATCCTGCCCCGTCAAGGTCAAGGCTGGGTAACACCCGATATCACAGTTAGAATGTGATTTATAAACGCATGCGTATGTTATAGTCAGAAACGTACGACGGTTTTTGCTTTTAGCAGAAATAACATGCACAATAACATTGAATATCTTTTTTCATCAAACAAAACCGTGAGTGAGTATGGTTATAATTCTTCTTTCAGCAGTATACTGTCAATATCACACCTGAAATGGGCTTCACACACCCCATCCATAATAGCAATCGAACCCAGGTCTTCGGCGTGACGAGCGAACGCCGTAACAACTACCCTCCTCCTACGCCTCAATCCAAGGCAACATTTCCCATTTGGCGTATCTGGAAAATTGGTAGGGAAGGGATCACTGAAAATCGCACGAAAAAATCATTCGAATCACGGGGATTCGATATTTATATACAGATTATATTTTGTTTTGTTTCTTTAATGCTTTTCGGTTCGCCGAGCAATATTCTATATTCTGTAAATAATCGAGTCTGAGTCCCAGTCTCATAATGCAGTGATGGACATCACGAGGGTCTATCTACGGGTTCGTGGTACGATGACATGCATGAACGTGACGTTAAATAATAACTCACTCACTCACATGCATGAACCGAGTCAGTTAGCCTGTTAGTTGCTATTAGTCGCCTTTTGCGAGAAGGATGGGTTGATAAAGTCAAGCGCCTCGTTGAATAGGCGATTTTAGCCCTATGCCAATGACAAAGTATGCCCTACGACTGCCGTAAGCAAATGACAAAGTATGCGAGTTACGATCGCCTCAGCGCTACGACTACCGTAAGCCAATGACAAAGTGTGGGAGTTACGATCACCTCACCGCTACGACTGCCGTAAGCCAATGACAAAGTGTGGCAATTACGATCACCTCACCGCTACGACGACCGTAAGCCATGACAAAGTGTGGGCGTTACGATCACCTCACCACTACGACTGCCCAATTTGAAATCGATTATCTGATGATATGTGCCCAATTTTCCAAAATGACTGACTGACTGAGTTTGGTTTTACGTCGCTTTTAGTAACATTCCAGCAAAATCACGGCGGGGAACACCAGAAATGGGCTTCACACATAATACCCATGTGGGGATTGGAACCCGGGTCTTCGGCGTGACGAGCCAACGCTTTAACCACTAGGCTACCCCACCGCCCCTTTCCAAAATGAAGCGATGTTAGCAGTTCGACTATGGTACGTCTGAGTTAAAGGATGGGACTTACGATAGTTGCAGCGCTAAGATAACATTGTGGAACGTGGGCCAGGTTTGTACTGGCAATTCCATGTGCCACAACAAGTGCGGGTTGGGGCCTTCTAAAATGACATCTATCTGCGGACAAAACACGGAATCCTGCCAGCTTCCAATACTATCCTGTTTTGAGGAACGGATCAGGCATGTCGCAAGACATTCGATTGTGATGTATTCTGGATATTCGTGACACCACGAACATATTCCAGGGCTTGTTAACCATTCCTGACTCGAGTTGTTTGACCTATTGTCTTTGTAGCAGTAGACATGAAGCTGTGTGTTTCATTGTACGTTAATGATCAATCGGTGTTCTTGTTTGGTCATGTACTAATTTCAGACTTAAGTTCTGTACGAGCCGATGTCGGGGTTAACCATTGCGTTTCAATTAAACACGTCACAATTTAATTCTGGCCTCACAAAAGGCCAGTAACTCTCCACCCTGTGGCCACTTTCTGACAAGGAATTTGACAAAATCAAACATGCAGTTGTAATGAATATATGCTAAGGATGAAAAAATTTCATTTTTTTTTTTTTCGAAAACTCAAAAGTTAAACTCGTCCGGCCCATGGGTGAGAATGTTTAGTTTCGCTCAGACTTCGTGTTTTGGAGGACATTTAGGAAATAACCGGGGAAGAAGTATGCTTCACATATTGTACTAACGCAGGGAATGAAAACTCGTGGGAAAGCTTCAATCCCCGGGTTACCCCTCGTTCAGCTATTGCTTTGGTGTATACTGTAGAAAAACAAACAGCGTTAAAGCTACATACGGATTTTTGTATTAGTAAATGCTGTCTGGTACAAGGATTTCTCAGTTTGCTAGTGATGGTGACTTGTAGATGTATTTTCGGATATAGAAAGTAAATCTGAAATAGAGAACAACTTGGTGAAGAACAAAGGGGAAACATAACAAAAGATAGAAATAACCTAAGAGTATATAGAGCTAGCTCTACAGCGGTTAACGTCATCCCACAATTAATGCAGATTACTCCAGTGTGTCATTAATGATAATCATTATTTTGCACATCTCTGAATGAATAAGTTTTGTTTGGAAAGGTTATATGAGCTTAGGTTGACTGACTGACTGACTGAATTTGGTTTTACGCCGCTTTTAGCAATATTCCAGCAACATCACGGCCGGGGACACCAGAAATGGGCTTCACACATTGTACCCATGTGGGGATTCGAACCCGGGTGTTCGGCGGGACGAGCCAACGCTTTAACCAGTAGGCTACCCCACCGCCCGAGCTTAATGTGGGAGGGAAACACGTTATAATACAGGTAAATCCAGCAAAAATGAAATCTCTTGAACCTTTCCATGCCAACTAGGAATGGTTGATAAATTATTTTTCCTTTTGAAAACTCAATATCTATTCTACGTACATTTATCGATATTCTTAAAGGCGACAAATATTCATCTTAGGAGAAGGAAAGATAATGTCTTAAAGATTATTTTCCAAAATGCAGTGGGAATATGAATTGTTCAAAGATGGTGTTATACTTACGATGGACATATTTTAGGGCAGATGGACTTAGTCAGTGTAGTCTTCATCAGCGAGTCACACGTCCCTAAACACTGGGAAGCTGATGCATCCGAGCCCACAACATTGAAAATCTGATTAACATAGAATCCAAGTGCTGCCTCTCCAAACAAATGGCCCACATCTGAAAAAGACATGTGAATACGTAATTATTTCCGTAAATACCACTGTCAATCAGTGTGTGAAATAGTTTCCAAATTTTGCTTGCCCGTCGGGCTAGGTATGCCTGAAAGTTACTAGCCCACAAAATAATTCACTATCCCAATATTTGAATGTAGAAACTAAGCCAAAGATTCCCAAAAGTTCAAATATCATCATTTATCTGGCCATAATCTTGGATGATTTAAAAGTGCATTATAACTTAACAAGTGGGAGAGAGTGATATATTTTTAAAATGACCCCATGACAATTTCCTAGCCAGTCGGGCCAGTGACTTGGAGATTTACTGGCCCGACTGAAGTTTTACTACCCACGGGCTATCGGGCCAGTGGTTATTTCGCACACTGGTATCAATGCTTTATTAAGTATGAAGGTCACTGGGCACATGTACATTAATCATACAATAAACATAAAAGAGAGTATTCATATTACATACGTCTGGGAAACTATTCAGTTTATAGTGTACATCTTTTCTCATTAGCACGGAAAAGATACAGACTCAACATTGTCAGGCGGTGTGTACTATTCGGTAAAAGAAGTTTCTTAAAGATCAACATATTTACAGTTAGGTTTACGGGTATATTTTCCCTTCTAATCTCATCATAATAAGGACGTATAAAGGTAAAGTGTTATTTGTCTCCTATTTTACATAGAGGGCACGTTCTCAAAATGGGATAAATTTTATGCCACAAAAGCTAATGGGTACTACTAAACGGGAATGGTATTGCCGATTCTGCAATTCGAAATTGTCCACTGATCAAGTACAAGTGTGTAGAATGGTTCTGAATTGGAAGTGTATCATTTTATAAACCTTTTTGATCAGTACAAACACAAATTGTGTCTAAAAATTAGAGATTTATAGAAAACTCGATTTCCGCACATGAAGTAAAGCGGGACAATTATTTCGAATTACCCACATGGTCACGTGATTCCTAATTTGCTACAGCAATGATCATTTGTCATTTGGAATTGCCAAAATACAAAGAGAATAAGTATCATTGGCTGAAAGTTCATTTTAAATAATCCAAGTGTACTGGCAAACAGGGATAAGTTGAGCACCGACCTGACAATTGACCCGTATTAGCATGTATGAGTGCCCCCACTGGCGCTTGCCATTGTTAGCGAAAGGGCCTCAGGTTGTCCGCGATCAAATGTAGTGCGACTTGCTACACAGTCATAAGAGTCTTATGAGCAAGGCGTGTGCAGCTACGCGCGGAATCAATTTCATCGTCATGAAATGCACGTGCATTAGCCTACATCTGCTCTACAGACTGTAAATGGGTTTGCTCGTTGCGGTGCACCGCCTACTTCTCGTAAACGCGTTCTCTGTGCCGGTCCAACTTATCCTTGTTTGCCAGTATATTGTAGAGAGGAATTCCACCTGATACACAAATTCAGCCGGATTAAATTAAACTCACAGCCTGATTAAATTAAACTCACAGCCTGATTAAATTAAACTCATAGTGCAAAAGCCATTATTGGGACTTGGTTCAGCCGAGGGGCAAATGGCATAGCTGAAAGAATTGTTAACTCTCTCTTATATTGTAGGTGCTATTAAAGATGCTTAACTTGATATACAGTATTACTGAACATACTGACCTAATGATCTGCATCTTGGGTATATTTTTAGATACATGTGTCAAATAGAAAATTGTTCCCGAAGGATTCTTTGACCGAGGTACTTGAAGTCATACACGCATTCCGATGTTTTCGACCATAACCTTCATCTACAGGTTATGGAAAAGGGCGAGCAGTGACAGGTTTCACCCAAGTGGTAAACGTATAAAACCTGAATTACTTCGGGGTTACCTCCCACCTAAAACAGACACGCAATCGTATAAACCTTCACGTTATATGAATTTTCTTTTGGTTGGAGACGAACAGATAAACTAACCCCCTCACCTGTTGACAGATCCTCGCAATGTTCGGAACAGGAGGAGATGGCTGAGTACCCCCAGGCCTCCCCGAGGCATCTGGACATACCGTATACCTGCACTGCCCCGGGGGTGTGGGGCGTCATGCTGTTGAGAAGGTGGGACCCATAAGATATGTTCAGATGACCCACTGAGAACCCTAGCAGAGGCACGTCTTCCCACGAAACTGCAACAGGTTTCCCGTCCAGCCTCACGCCGTCGGTGTTGTTGGTGCCAACGATGAGAGAGACGTACATTTCTTCAGACCCATTTTTGTTAGCTTCCATTGTGTCAAATATGTAATGAGACGTGTTAGCGTCGATTGTTGGGAATCTGTCGATAGGCGTCACGATCACCGTCATTGGATCAGCAGTCAGATACTGCAGGATGAACACTGGCTTGGTGTTTTCAATCACAAGGTAGGTGTTCCTTTTGTACATTGCCGTGTGGACGTCGCCTTTATTCAACGCGAAATGGACATCACGTGATGTCGCAAAAGAGCCGTAGTCGTATTCGTGGATGCTTGTTTTAGTGTTATCGTCACTGGCCACAATTCGCAATCTGTACCCATTTGTCTGCCCCGCCATGTCCGCCACTAGGTAATCCTTGCCCCACAGGGAAGGAGGAGGCACTTGGATCACCCCCTGGTCGCACCCGTTTCCGGTAGTTGCGTTAGCCAGAAACAAACACGACGCTCCCGCAAACACAGCGAAAGGTTTGTTCCCTGTGAGATAAGATCCGGCTAAGTCGCACTGCTGATCACCAAAATAATCAACGTACTCTCTGCTGAGTTGAAACACATCCTCTTTGTCAAGAGTGACCGTGAAGCTGCTCCCGTCCTTCACCGTCGTATTGCTATAGGTATATACACATTTCGTCTTAATGTGTACATTGATAACGGTGTTCTCATCAACGCCCGCCGCAGACAGCAGTGCGTTGTTTAAAGCACCGGGTATGAGGTAATCTCTTCCCAAAGATTTGTACGGAATACCATGGTACACATTGGACGTACCCTGCTTCCTGCTTAATGTGTACAGTATTACCGGAACTGTACAGTGTACGTGGACGCCTTTAGGGGTAATCTGACTGTGAAGAGATTCTTGAACTACTTCCGGTAAAGCAGCCCTGATCGTCCTACCCGGATGTAGAATCTCGTGTTGTTTAATGCGCGCGCTTGTGTAACGACTGACTTTGTAATCGATCACACAGGTTCCTTCTTTTTCGGAATGTATATACAGAAAGTTGAATTTATCGGGATTTGAGGGTTGGTTGAATTCGGCAAAAAATACAACCATGAAGTCTTCTCCTTGGTATTCGTAGTCTGAAACACAAAATATATGAACCACTTGTAATTAGTTTCATATGTTTGAAGCAAGAAAATAACAGTAGAGAAAACCTCTGATCACAATCAAGCGGTAGGGGTGGTTTTGGCTGTCCCCCGCCGCGATATTGCTAAAATCGGCGTAAAACTATACTCACTCACTCACTCACGCACTGTTAGAACGGTAGGGTAGCCGAGTGATTACAATCGTTCGCTCTTCACATCAATACCCCGTTTCGAATCGTTTTTGGTGTCATGATATCGACTGGGAGTGTTCACTACTGAACATGCTTCCTATAGTTATACTGACATCATGTTGACATTTGACATGATCCAATGTGGATCACTGATCCTATGATCCACGCTATCATGGCCCAATGACATAAACATGCTCAGGTCCTGAGGATGTATTCGTTTCTGCATTACCAGGGGAGAGCTGTTATGCCCACTAATCTTCATGGGAAGACGGGGCGGTTGGGTACGTCACGCCGAAGACCCAGGTTCGATTTCCAACATGGGTACAATGTGTGAAGCCCATTTCTGGTGTCCCCTGACGTGATATTGCTGGAATGTTGCTAAAAGAGGCGTAAAACTAACTCACTCACTCATGCGAAGACACAGGGTCCTTGAGATCTTTTCTGTTATGTACCTCAGGGAGACAACCATGTGGTACTTGGGAGATGGGCCGGTTGTGCCAAAGAATCTGCTTAGGGAAAGACACATGCATGTGGGGTACTGTTCACCTGTTTAGCTATGCAATCTTCGTGGGGAAACAAACACCGAGGAACGTTTATGAAGGCACAGATTATTCTACTTGGAATCCCCTCGGACAAACAAGGGTATCTTATTGGAGACTCTTTCCACCATGGCATTCCCACACAGCAGTGGATCCTTGAACTTGTAAGTATACCTTGTGAAACCTTGGAGGGACACACACAGGGTATTGGGGGTTTATGGTGTTCAGGAATCCGAGACATACAAAGGAGAAAAAACGAAATTTCGAGTTCGCCTCTTATTGTATTGTGAGTGAGTTTTAGTTTGACGCTGCTTTCAGCAATATTCCAGCAATATCACGGCAGTGGGCACCAGAAATGGGCTTCACACATTGTACCAATGTGGGGAATCAAACCCGGGTCTTCAGCGAGACGAACGGATGCTTTATCCACTACGCTTCCCCACCGCCTCCCAGGTATAAACTTGAAATAGCGAAATATATTCGATTCGATACTCCGCAAAATGTAATCGATGTTTCGAGATCAAGCCAGAAATTTCGAAAACATAAATATTTAATTGTAATAATAAAAATAATATATGCAACGAAAGTGGCACTGTTAGGCTTACGTAGACAGGTTGTTGTTGTGACCTCCAGGTGCAAATTTGTTAGACGACCTTGACCTTGGAGATAACAACCAGCGACCCATTGTATGAAGCGTAATAACAAACATTCATATGTGATCGCAATACCATGGAAACTCTCTTTGTCCGGAAACCCTTGATACCAGTCGAAGTTATTGGGAACGTAATATAGAGTTTGGTGACGTCATGTGGCCATTTGGAAATTTCAGTTATCCAGTCGATTTAACTGGGCAGCCCGGATAAATAAGGTTTCATAGCATGGAGGTGTCTGACATGTTTTGGACAAGTACACAATTTTAACAAATTTAAATGTTTGTTTTTTTAAAAATCAAATTAACTATAAATCAGTCTCAAATCCCCATCAGGGCAGTAGTTTACAGCCATTCGTGTCAAGTACAAGATACCGTTATCACCTACCTGATAAAGGCTGAACTCCCCCTGAACAATGGATTAGGATAAGAATGACTGGGAAGAACAAACCAGGCATTGTGTGTGTTTGATGTGTTCTATGACTTTCAGATAGAACAGTAGATTACCGGTGATTTTTAGATTAATATGACTGCACGCAGATAACTTACTTTTCTGTCGTTGGGAACTGGCAGGTGTCTGACAAAAACACGAACGAGTGGGTGCGTTTATAAGTGAGTGTAGTTATAAGCCGCTTTTAGCAATATTCCAACAATATCGCGGCGGGGGACACCAGAAATGGGCTTCACACATTTTACCCATGTGGGGAATCGAACCCGGTCTTCGGCGTGACGAGCGAACGCTTCAACCAGTAGGCTACCCCAACGCGCCGAGTTAGTGAGTGAGTGACGAATCGAACAAGCCTCTCCTCGTGAAGGGCGGGCACTCTAACCAACTGGCTATCCAACTCTCAACACAATCAGTGTAACAAATGGTTCTTTATGCTGTGTTTTCAATACATGAATTGATTTAATTTCAATGTAGGTAATAAAAAGTTTACGGGTTGTAAGTAAAAATCCCAAATAAACTGACGCACAACACACGTGTCACATTACAATCGGTATTGCTACAATCAGTGAGTGAGTTTTGTTTTAAGCCGCGTTCAGCAATATTCCAGCAATATCACGGCGGGGGACACCAGGAATAGTCTTCACTCATTGTACTCATGTGGAAAATCGGAACCGGGTCTTTAGCGTGACGGGCTAACGCATTAACCACTATGCTACCTCACCGCCCCTTGTTACAATCAAAACACATTCTCAAAAGACGTTTTTCTTTTTTATGTATTCAATAACTGATAATGATTAAAGCTATTATGACATTTAGAGTTTTTTTACCAAAAGTACTACTTCAGAGACTGATAATATATTCATTGCATTCACGGCCTCTAAATGGAGATGTTGAGTGAGTATACTTTTACGTCGTTTTAGCAATATTCCGGCGGTAGACACCCGAAATGGAATTGACACATTATACCCGTGCTCGGAATCGAACCCGGGTCTTCCACTAGGCTGTCGCACCTCCCCTCACGAGGAATGGACCCGGGTTATAACCTTCAGTAACCCATGCTTGTCGTAAGAGGCGACTAACGGGATCGGTTCATTGGTTCCCAATTGCGCAAATCGATGCTCATGCTGTTGATCACAGGATTGTCTGGTTCAGACTCGATTATTTACAGACCGCCGCCATATAGATGGAATATTGCTGAGTGCGGCGTGAAACTAAACTCACTCATTCATGAGGAATGGGGCTCTGTTAGAACTGGCTTTCAGTTTTTCAGACCTGGATCACCCATCGGCTTCAGTCTTTGTCTTTCAGTAGGTTGTTTTTGTATTTGTTTTCTGTTTACTTTTTAGTGCAACGATCAGAAATATTCCAGCTGTATGACGGCGCTCTGCGATTAATCGAGTCTGTATCAGAAAATACAGTGATCAATATCGTGTGCATCGATCTACGCAACTGGGATACGATCACATGTGTCACCCAAGTCAGCGAGCCTAACCACCTGATGCCGTTAGTCGCCTCTTACGACAAGAATTGGATGTTGAATGTCAATTCTGATTTGGGTTTTCACAGCGTCATTATAATATTGTTGTTGTATTTGACGTGTATTGCTCACCCATAACGCGATTTTTATGCCAAACAGGTTTGAGGTATTGATCGGACTGTAGGGTAGCATAGTGGTTGAAGTGTCCGCTCGTCCCGCCGAGGGTTTGAGTACGTATCCCCTATCGGGTGGCGTACACCCCATCCCACACCCACTACCTTTTTAGAAACCTCTTGAATCCGCCTGTGTACTCTCACTCTGCTGAGTTCAAAACACTATTTCAGTCATAGTACGTAGGACGTGATATCCTACTTTGAGCATGGTGTTGATCATCGGATTGTCTGGTCCAGACTCCATTATTTACAGACCGTCGCCATGTAGATGGAATATTGCTGAGTGTGGCGTCAAATTAAACTCACTCACTCATTTTACACCTATTCGTTAAAGTACTAAACGCATGTCCAGTGTAGTCAGTTCGTGCCGTGTAAGCTTGAATATTGCTGAGTGCGGGGTTAAAACAACCAACCAACCAACCAACCTAATTTGAGAGAAAAGCCCACAGTGACGCACGAAGCCGAAAAAAATCCCCACGTTGCCGAAACCAACGAACGTGTGTAGGAATCTCACAAACCAACGATCAAATCTTGGCGAATCTGGGATTCGAACCCATGATCAGCTTCTGACACAGCTACTGGCGGCGACTTGGTGACTACGCTTTATGTTCCCAGGGCAAGACTGGTGGCCTGCTCGAGTTGTGTAATACTGATCCTTCAGTTGTCCAACAACGATAATGTTTGGATGTGGTATGTGATGAAGATCCCGTATCAGCCGATAACTGGTTCAAACACGAGTCTCTACTTTGAACCCTGTTATCACAGCCGTCACCAGATGACTCCTAACTTCTACCAGGCGACATATCGGGGGAGAGGACAGTAAGAGAATTCAGTTATAAACCGTTACTCATATTGTGAAAGTTATATGCTGACTTTATTAAAAAGCCTTGTTAGTCTACTGCTCAAGAAGTTCCTCTTTTTGTGAAAGTTCGCAATACAACGACACGACACGGGAATGTAAAGGTAACGCAATAACTCAGAAAATGTCGCTGTTGTTCGCTTATGTATGTTTTGCGGACGTACCACTGTGTAATTACTAATGTGGAAAAGCGGTAAGTAGTTGTGAGGAGAAGTGTATGTCAGCACGGAGTCCCGGTGCTGTGTTATTGTACAGCAAAGGCGGTAAGTAGTTGTGAGGAGAAGTGTATGTCAGTACGAAGTCCCGGTGCTGTGTTTTTGTACAGCAAAAGCGGTAAGTAGTTGTGACGAGAAGTGTATGTCAGCACGGAGTCCCGGTGCTGTGTTATTGTACAGCAAAATCGGTAAGTAGTTGTGAGGAGAAGTGTATGTCAGCACGGAGTCCCGGTGCTGTGTTATTGTACAGCAAAATCGGTAAGTAGTTGTGAGGAGAAGTGTATGTCAGCCCGAAGTCCCGGTGCTGTGTTATTGTACAGCAAAAGCGGTAAGTAGTTGTGACGAGAAGTGTTTGTCAGCACGGAGTCCCGGTGCTGTGTTATTGTACAGCAAAAGCGGTAAGTAGTTGTGAGGAGAAGTGTATGTCAGCACGGAGTCCCGGTGCTGTGTTATTGTACAGCAAAAGTGGTATGTAGTTGTGAGGAGAAGTGTATGTCAGCACGGAGTCCCGGTGCTGTGTTATTGTACAGCAGTTGCCAACACCTGTAATTATATCTTTAATATAACACCATGTGGAAGTATTCTTTTAGCGATGTAACTCATGCACTGGGACTTACTCAGTAGTATTTCTCAGCTGCTCTGGATGCTCCTCGCGCTATCATGAGAGTTACTAGCGAACTACAACGCAGGTACTCCGAGAATTACTCGAGGACTATAACGCAACTTCTCATGGCGTTACTAGCGGACTATAATGCAGCTATTCTGAGAATTACTCGCGGACTATAACGCAACCACTCTGGGAGTTACTCGCGGACTATAATGCAGCTACTCTAGGAGTTACTCGCGGACTGTAACGCAACTATTCTGATAAGTACGCAATAGATATATCTCAGCTATTCTGGGAGTGACTCGCGAACTATAACGTTGCTATTCTGGGAGTTACTCAAGCGATATATCTCAGCTATTCTGGGAGTTACTCGCGGACTATAACGTAGCTATTCTGGGAGTTACTCAAGCGATATATCTCAGCTATTCTGGGAGCTACTCGCGGACTATAACGCAGCTATTCTGGGAGTTACCCAAGCGATATATCTCAGCTATTCTGGGAGTTACTCGCGGACTATAAAGCAGCTATTCTGGGAGTTACTCAAGCGATATATCTCAGCTATTCTGGGAGTTACTCGCGAACTATAACGCAACTATTCTGAGAATTACTCGCGAACTATAACGCAACTATTCTGGGAGTTACTCGCGAAGTAGAACGCAGCTACTCTAGGAGTTACTAGCGGACTATAACGCAGCTATTCTGGGAGTTACTCAAGCTATATATCTCAGCTATTCTGGGAGTTACTCGCGAACTATAACGCAACTATTCTGAGAATTACTCGCGAACTATAACGCAACTATTCTGAGAATTACTCGCGAAGTAGAACGCAGCTACTCTAGGAGTTACTAGCGGACTATAACGCAACTATTCTGGGAGTTACTCAAGCGATATATCTCAGCTATTCTGGCAGTTATTCGCAGACTATAACTCAGCTAGTCGTGCTGTAAAACACCATAGTTTGCTTGTTTACGGCATTGAACATTATTTCTGTTATATCTGGCATGGCTAAGTGTGTTTGTACGCCAACTGCTGTGACGATCAAGTAACATCACGGTATTAAATACCAGTAATAGGCTTCACACATGGTAGTCAAGGAGGGGATCGAACCTGGACGTCGTGAAGGTATCTCGCCGCCATCAGTGTATAGCTTTAAGACGCTAAATCTGTTTTAGACGACTTAATCTGCATATATTCATATGGTCTAAATATGAACTGTGCACATATGGACTTGTCTGCACTTACCCACGTGTGCTTACTATGCACTTACTTAGTCGTCTCTAACAAGTTATTCTTCTTTCAGCACACGGGCCCTTCACAAGACAAACCCATTGGATGCAAGTTATTTCGACGACTCGACACATCACAAGTTCTTTTGTAATGGACTCGATGCTCCACTGTTGACTGCGTTGACTACATTGACACTGTTGACGTCGTCGCCAGACTTGGGTGTGGCTGCTGTGATGACCATCAATTAATATTTGACTTCAGTGACTGTAATAACCTCAATGGCCAGCATCTTTATGAGACTGAACAGAATGTTTCGTTTCAAATGTCGATCAAAACAGTTATTCTTTCTGTCCCTGTTTGGTCTATGTGTCATAGGTCTGTTCAAAATGGTCGTGTTCGTGACCTCCCCTCCTCATCTCTACAAGGTTGCCATGGCAACGTTGCAAGAAAATTACGTCATCAAGGAGGACGCTGATGACAATGCAGAATGCTTGAAACAAATACAAAACATTAACTCCTATGTGGTGAAACTTCGTGACGTCATGTTAGATCCCGGAAAGGCTGTGAAAATGCGATGGAGTCCTAATCAACTCAAACTGGAGAAGGGTTTCTTTACGGTGGCCTGTATTGGTGATTCGCCATTGACGCGATCATCGTTCTACGGTGGGTGGTCTCACTTCGCGTCATGGGCCACTGCCATAGACATTACGACATATGCCAAAAACAAATTCGACGAAATCGATGCCGTTGAGGGCTATACTATTGCCATAAAGAGAATGCGTACAAATAATGTGTATCTGAAAATTCTGGATATGTATAATACATACGTAACAGTGAGGATGATGAGACAAAAAGCGAAGGATGTTTCCGTTCTGTTCATTGATGCTCATTCGGATGAATCAAGCATTAACGAGTGGAACGTGATCTTCGGAGAAGCGTCTCAAATCAAAGATATTTCGAGAAAGCAAAGATATGAAAATATCATTTGGGGCATTCCAGAAGGACTTGGTCCGATTGCGACATATGACCTTCCGCTTCCGTTTTTGGACGATTTTCGGCACCACGTGGTCACGAGCGGAGAGGCTGTTTCAAGCGATGACATCACTTGCCCAGGCTTGAGAATATCAATTTTAACTTCAAGTTATAAGACTGAAAATAAAAGAGGTAGAGTCCTTCAACATTCTATATCCAACACTGATGATATAATTGAACAATTGCACGAGGAATTCTCGGATTGCGATCTCATGATTATCAGTACAGAGTCCATGAGCATGCGCCAACAGATCCAAGCTTTTGCTAAGTCGGACATTCTGATTGGTCCACATGGTCATGAGCTCTCCAACACAGTGTTTTTACACCAAGGAGCTGGTTTGATCGAACTGTTCCCTACAAGGTATAGACTTCTTTCAGACAATCGATTTCGACAACTTGCTTCGTGGAGTAAAGTGTATTATTCGAGTTGGTTTAATACGAACTGGATGCTCCGAGACTCCGAGGTGATGACAGTGGATCCGGATGTCGTGATCAGCATGGTTAGCGGAATGAAGAAAATCCTTTGTTCCAGATGAAATTTAGAGTGATGTTTTAAGTGGAAATGTCTTACTTTTTAAGAGGCACTTGATTTGTATTACTACTTTTGCGTATCCATCGACCTTAAAATATGTGCTAACAAAGATGTCAAGCGCTGGTATTGGGGTTAGACTGTAAACAACTAAGGGAGGTCACTCTAATTTAGAAGCTGACGTGGGAGTATCAAAACAGGCCACCTCTGTGTCTCTTACTTCTTTGCTACGTTTGCAGGTATGGCAGCTTACATAAATTACCATCGATTTATGTTGAAATATTGACAAGACATCGGAACAGTGTATATTATTCCAGATGGACGCACGTACTGGTTCGCCTTATTGTAGTGTGGATGAGTGAGTTTAGTTTTACGTAGCTTTTAGCAATATTCCAGCAGTATCACAGCAGAGAACACCAGAAATGGGCTTCACCCATGGTACCGACGTGGGGAATCTAAACCGGGTCTACAGTGTGATGAGCGAACGGTTCAGCCACTAGGCTACCCCACCGCCGCTATTTTATTGTGAAGTAGAGGAAGCAACTGGAATGGTACACAAATGACTCTTGTCAAGGATCCTTCACAAAAAATGACAGTAGATACGCGATTTCGGCTTCTCTGTATTTCGTATAGTCAAAACAAAAAGCATAAATGATTTGCTTTACAAAAGTTATACGAGAAACCCTTTTTGGTTATCACATTATGGGGATATACACTAAGCTTTGTTTTGCTATCTGTATACATAATGTCTATATATAGTTCCTAATTCATATATTACCTACTTGTGGGGATTCCTTCCAATACTTGCACTCAGCAATAGTCCTTTTATTTGACTGAGGTCTTCATAAGATTAGGCCTGAATCAGACAATCCCATGATTGACATAATGAGCATCAATTAAGTCCCTTAGCTAGGGTTGCCGAGGACCGTTCCTCATCCAAATATTCTCAGGTAGTTTATTTAATTTGGGAATAACTCTGTACATGATGTTTTCGGGGAGCAAAACGTTTTTTCATGTTTGTACAAAACAATTCTAATTTGAATAAAAATATAAACATTCTTGATTTTTCTTTTCTGTACAATTACAGTGAAAGCGATGACACATTCCCGTTAGCCATGGGTTTGTGCCATGAAAACACAGTCATTTGGTATTAGTTTAACGCAGTACTCAGCAATAGTCTAGCTGTATGGTGGCAGTATATATAAGTAATCTAGCTGTCGATTGGTGGCATCGAAATACGCAAACAGAATGCCTGACCACTCGATCAAGTCAGTCGCCCCATGAGATAAGCATGGGCGCAGAAGACTATTTCAGTGCCTGATGTCAACGGGTTCTCATTCGTTTCCCTGAATTGAAACAGTTACCTGGACAAATAATAACAATGAAATTCATTTGTTCATAGTGTAGTCAGCAATATTGCATATTGGCCAGACGGTGATCGATTAGTGTCACGCCATCATGGTGCACTAACGAGGAATGTGAAATCTAGTTCTCACGGCACAAACCAAGATACAACATAGGAGTGAGTGAGTGAGTATGGAGTTGACTTACCATAAAAGTGCAGTTTCCACGAAAACAAAAAGCCGTGTGCGAAATACCCATCATAATGGAAAGCACGCGTATCATTAAAGCAAAAACATTTTTACAGTTAACACTATTCTCTGGGATAATTTAACGTATGGCTGCACACAAAGAGCTGTGTTATACTTCCTCATTCGAACGGGAAAATATGACATAATTAAAATAAAACAAATATAAAACTTTGTTAAGTGTTGGCCTAAAATCTTACCGAACTACTTGCACAACCATCGGTCAACATGATCCCTTAGGAACTAGGCTTGGATTAGGGAGTTATATTTTGGCTGGAATAACGAGTCTATGCATAGTGCGATCAAATCACGTAGATCAATTGGAACCAGGTTTACAAACACCATGGCAACTGGTGTGCAGATTTATTCGTTACCACTTGCGGTAACCTTCAAGAAGACTAGCCCTCTATTGACGGAAAATACGTAAAACTAATGTGAATGCACGGAACGATTGAGATTTTTTGATAAATATATTCCTCAGAACTTGAATCATTTATGGCATTATATGATCGTTTAAAAGTCGTGAAAATTATACGTCACAGAATAATATTTCTTTTGTCATAGCGTTGCACCATATTTTTCAGCACTATATATTAGTTTGTTTGGCGTAAACAGTCCGCCTAATAGGACAACGGTACAATAATCTGTATTGAAACATCCCACTCGATACATACAAGAAGTTGCTCTCCTTAATTGTGTTCAGTATTGTACGTCCCAATCTCTAAAATGCAAATAAAAAATAAAGAAGTTAACTTTAATTGTTGTTCTAATCCATAGGTTTCTTTCCGGCAAGGACCTTCGAAGATCCGAGTTAGAATTGATCTTCAGTAACTAAACTCACTCTCACACTCTTTCCGACAATAAACACATCAGCACGTGCTCGAACTTTGCAGTTCTTGCGACATATACATGTATATCGTCTATTTGACATTACAAAGAACATAAAAGAATTGTTTTCGAATTTGAGATTGTAATATCAATATGTCCATGTAAGAGATAAATTCATATAATTTGGAATCCACATACGTTCGTTTGTACGCAAAACGGCCCCCATGTTTCACGGCTGTCAACCCAGACTGTCGAAAATTGAAATTTTTAAATTCGATGTTTCGGGTATTATTTAAGGAGGTAATTAGGCGTTAACACTATGGCGTTCGACGCTCCGGGCATTAAGGAAAACAAAATACGTTATACAGTACATTCTTTATTGTGGCCACTTTGTTACAATATACAGTGTGCAGTGCTCATAGAACTTTGATTCACATCATAGTCATCCCAAGCGAGCAAGGTAGCCAGTCTGATCAGCATTGTTCATTATGGAAATCTCTTGTCTCTGAAGCTGGTCCTTGAGACGCTGAAGCCTTCTGTCAAGCTCGCGGTAGCAGCGCTTCCTTGGCGGGCCTCCACAAAGGACTGCTCTCTCTTCAACACCCGGACATGCACATAGATGTTGGGATGACATTTCCCACTGATATTGTTCAAACGATGATGCCAACCTTCTAGACTTTTGTTCGTGCGACGGCCATCATTCAGGAATTGGTTCCACTCCTCCTTCTCCACTGATTTGGTCCATCCACCCCTGTCTCTGTGATGTAGTCCATAAAGCTGGTGATAGCAGCGCCTTAAGGAGCATCGGCAATAACCTGGACCCAAATATCCTCAACTTGATCAACAGGCACCAAAACTAGTGAACGGCACGTCGTACAAGTCGTCGCAAGTCATCACACTCTTTGTACTCAGTGACTAGGCCAAGTTTCTGGATACATCTCCAAACACACTGAGAGTATACGTAGTGAAAGTAACATCCACGTAGTTGTGACGTAGGAAACACTGTCGACACGGCGTTGTGGGCGTCCTTCTCAAAATCCATCTGAATGATGTCTGGAGATAAGTTGAAGCCACGTTGTGCTGCAGCTGCCTTCAGTAGGCGGAATGCGCGGGCATGTCTCCTCTTTTTTGTCGGGCAGAAGGAAGTACACGAGAGGATAAATGTGGCCTTGAACGAGTACAGCTGGTAAAACACAGAGGGGGCAGAGTAGAAAGTTCCATCAGCATAGATAATATCTGAGTCACATAGAAGCTCAAGATTGGTAGCAGTGGCGAAGACAAGGATACGACTGAGATCAAGGTTATTTCATCTCGTCAGCCTATCACCACCTAATCAAAGACCACCACCAGTAATCCTTCCCTACCTCCTTTGTCCATCTGGCCTCCATGCTCCCTACTTAGTGCTTGTAATCACAACTATTGTACGACAAATCATCAATTGTATAAACTCAACTCTAATCACAATCAATCACTCTGTACATCAACCTCCTCTGCTGTAATCACTTATCAAATATCCAATGTACATCAACCTTGTCAATTGTATATACTCACTAATCAGCTATGTATATATTCTCCTTGCTTCAGTAGTTGTATCACTTGCTTGATAACGGTGTTAGTACCTACACCGAAACGTCGCACTCACTGCAATAAAGAAGTTGACTATCCATACAAATCAGTTTTCCTTCATCTTCACAACTTCTAAAATGCCTCTCAAAGAAAAGGATACGACTGTTGTCTCCATCATCGGCGATGAGGAACTCTTCTCCGACTTCAGTCTGGCACTACTCTCCCTCAAGTTGGACGGTGGCTCTACTCTTGGGTACCTTGGGAATGGTCTTGCGCCTCGCTCGGTACATGGATGTTCTAACAGTTTCAAACATAGGACTGTGCTGCAAGATATCATCTGGCAGGGACTCTGCGTTTCTTCGGATGTTGATCAGTTCTTCATCGAAGATCGCGTTGATGGTTGTTGTCTCTGTCTTGGAGCGGTGAATGAGTGTAGACTTGAATTGGTCGACGTGAAGCAGGAAGACATGTGAGGCTTGGTTGTGAAGATGGTTTCTGAAACTGGATATGACGTCATCTCTAGTCTGAAGGGTAGCCTTGCAAGTTTTCTCCACACAGCGCCAGTATGTGACGTCATTCTTTTCCCTGTTCTCTTTGTCCTTGTCACCTCCATGATGTAAATTTCTGTGACCGTAGACGTTCTCTGTGAAGGTAACCTGAACCTTCGCATTTGCCATATTCACATAGTTTATGTTACTTACCTAGCTTATATAGTTACACATGTATACGTGGGAAGGAAATGTGACAAATCTGATACAAATCTAGTGAATATTTCTCATTTCAACAATACATACAAATACAAATCTAGTTAAGTTTTCTCATTTCAACAACACATACAAATACAAATCTAGTTAACTTTTCTCATTTCAACAATACATACAAATACAAATCTAGTTAAGTTTTCTCATTTCAACAACACATACAAATACAAATCTAGTTAAGTTTTCTCATTTCAACAATACATACAAATACAAATCTAGTTAAGTTTTCTCATTTCAATAACACATACAAATGCAAATCTAGTTAAGTTTTCTCATTTCAACAATACATACAAATACAAATCTATTTAACTTTTCTCGTTTCAACAACACATACAAATAGAAATCTAGTGAACTTTTCTCATTTCAACAACAACAGTTGTGTACTTCCGCCTGTATCTGTATCATTGACCTCTTCTCTCTCGTTAATTAGAGTAGAGCGGATTAGCGCAGTCTTTCTGCTATTCGAAGGTTCATGTTCTCCAAGGCAGTCGACACTCCGGGTGTTATTTGGGCAGTGTTGAGCATTGCCACACTCCACTGCTTTTCGACAGTCCGGGTGTGTATTCCATAACACATTCGACAGTCAAGTGCTGGGATTCGAACGACGGACATTCTGTACCGAAGTCGGACGCCTTGTCCACATGACAACAGAGGTTAACCCAATCCATGAGTTTATAAGGTGAGGATGTCATATGTCGGATGACTTCACGCCCTGCTGCGCGTGTGCTTTGATTATACGTCCGCTTCCGACATGAAGCGTATTTCACCTGGCGGGTAAGGAGGACAGGCGTGAGTCACAGCTCTGATAAAAAGTGAGTTTTGAAGTTATAAAAAATGGATTGTTTGCTGCCAAAATATACGTAATTGTGTGTCATCGTTTTGAGAAGACGATGTGGTGTGATTTGGTGGTATATAGATCACGAATTGGCTGCATCAGCTCAGCATACATCGCCTTCTTGTCGAGACGAACAAGGCGACGGACCGCCATGTTCATATAAGTTATCACATCGTGTCGAGGGAAATACGGAGTTTTATCAGTCCCGAGTAAGGTTGACAACCTCACGAGGGACTGATAAAAGTCCGGTATTTCCCGAGACACGATGTGATAACGCATTTATCTAGCCGAATGTTTTTACTAAATGAAAAGAAAACAAAACAAAATTCTCAGTTGTTGTGGCAAAACGTTTCCTTGCTGCCATGTTGACACCAGCTGATAGATTGACCTCAATGCAGCGCACGTTACTAAAGGCTTTGCGATGCACGCTTTTCTCACTTCGCGTGGACACCTAGGCGTGGCGGGATAATACGACTTTTG